CCCCTTCCCAAACCTCAGCCGGCTTGATTTCAAAATCGCTAGGCACCAGATCCTTGACCGATGCCTTTGCGCCCGCAACAGGCGATGGAATGACCCTCAAACTCAAGAATGGCTTGTCAAGTCTTGGAGGAGGACTTTACTTGGCTTTAGCCTCGGTACCATACTGCAAAAATGTCTGACCAATTGGTCGTTCAATATGTGCTGTCGTTTTGGAGGTTGTGCTCGGTGTTAGAGAGAGGCGACCCAGTCGTTTTGGAAAGCCATTCTGCTCTCTGCCAGCCAGGAGGGCAGCCTCAAGGTCTACAATTAGAGATAGGCAGAAGTCGTAGGGTTTACCCTGGTATTTCGCCTCCACTGTATGGATAAACTCGATGAATGGGCCAGCCGGGGCGATGCCGTATTTTAGTTGTGTGGCTGTTACTAATGGTCCCTCTTCTACTTCGAGCACGTCTGGGATGAGGCGGCTGATGCTGGCGAAGGATGTTCAGTACCGGATTACTAGGATGGTGACATCGGAGAACACGGGTACGTCGTTGCTGTATGGAGGGTCATGCTGTGGGACGGGGTTGTTGCCAACGGGAAGCTGTCCAAAAGGCATGTTTTCTCAAGGAAACTCAGATTCAGACTTCATAAGAGAGCGAGATGGTAGAAAAGATATCAGAGAGGTTGGATATGGAGTATGCGTCAAGTTTCGTTTGCTTTTCTATCATATCGCAAGTAAGTAGCGACAGACCACAGATGAAATGCTGACAAAGTACGATCTCTATTTAGTGGTCGCACTGCCTTATAGGCTATATGATGCTTGAGCCTCCGCCAATCAGGCGGTGAAGCAACGACGATATTAGGGGCAATGGGATTTGGCTATGGGTCTATTGCCGGACGTTGGGTTTATTGGCGAGAAGTGGGTTCGTCGTCTTACAAAGATCATGCTGTATTATTGCAAAAAAGGCCCGTAGATGAAACAAAGGCTATCATAAGTTATGCAGCCTGCGCTGAAGTAGCTGACCGTGCGACTTTGTTGCTAGCGCTGGTGCTGGCTATGTTGGTGTCGCTGCCGTCCGGAGCTGGCATGAAACCTTGGAACGCGCCATCTCTTTTAATAGGCTTAAAGTTTGACTTAAAATTAAGCTTAACACCAACTACATAGATTACGTTATTAGCAGATCTGGCGCTAGTGGATCTAGAAAAGGACGCTTCCATCGGCCTGTTGTAGCTTTCTTGGCTATAGTACGGTGTGGGAAGGAGATGTTGTACTTTCAGGGTTCGCTTACAGGCAGCCTTGCAGGAGACGCAGGTTCGCCTGCCTGCCTAAGCCACATGATACCAAGAACTCTTGACGTAAGCTGAGGCGGGGTAACACCGCTCGTCCTGGCGCTTCTGCCTTCTCCACTTAGTCACTTACCTCGAACAATCTATGGCCGTTCGCGTCTTGTCATGATTCAACCTCTCAGGGTCCAAGAAGAGCTACCCGAATCGACTGGGGCCATATGTTCATACTCTAAGATTCAAGAATGGCAAACCCGCCTTGCGCTCATCAAGCCGAATGAAGACCCGTCAGCCTGCGTTGAACTCAGCCTTGTCGTTGTCGACTTGGTGGACTTGAATAACGGAGCTGTCATTAACCACGACACACTTGTCAAATACGATGCACTTTCGTACGCTTGGGGGAGTGCATCACCTTCTGCCAAGGGTATTTGCGATGGCAATACGATATCCTTACGTGTCAATCTCGACTCGGCGCTCAAATACCTTCGAAAGCCACAACATGAACGATACGTTTGGATTGACTACCTTTGCATCAACCAGGACGATCTAGTCGAGAAAGCTGTGCAGATACCTCGGATGAAAAACATCTACTCTAAAGCGAGTACTGTGATTGTGTGGCTCGGTATATCACCAGCGCTTGTGAGCAATTCAAGAGAATGTCAGAGGAGTTGTGGACTCAACGTAGACCTACTGACTTGCTCTGAGCATAAACAAGAAGTCTGGGAATCAATCCTAAATTATGCTTGGTTCAGACGGACTTGGGTTCGTCAAGAAGTGTTCGCCGCCGAGAGGTTGATTGTCTGTTGTCCTTACTTCTCCACGACTTGGGAGCTTTTCAATGAAGCTCTACACTCCATGATTACTATGAGTAACAATGAGTTCTCAAAAAGCACCCTTCAATCAGCTTCCAGTCATAGAGCCGCTGAAAATCTGAATTCTCTCAATGAGCTTTACCTATCCAGAGAGTTAGATTTACTGGTTTTGTTGAAACAAGGAAAAGGATTTCAGGCATCGGTGCCACATGACCACATCTTTTCTGTCCTAGGAATGATGTTCACACCAAAACACAGTGGAACAGAGCCAATTCCAGTAACATATGATAAAACCTACCATGAGATCTGCGGTGACGCGACTAGGTACATCATACGGGATACTCAAAGTATCAGTATACTGAGGTGGTGCCCTTTCCAGAAAGACAGGTCGTACGCGTTTGATTGGCCAGAAATCGAAGTATGTTGCCCTATCTCGGGTGAAATGGAGCCAGAGATACGGATCGATGAAGGCAGCGCGTTTTTGGAGCAATTTGACATCGACAACCCAATCAGGAAAGCTGGCGCTCCAATGCCGTCAGAAGATATGTACTATCGGAACTCTGGGGCACTAAGACCATCGGAAAATCTATCCTCTTCCTCAGCATCAAGTCAATCCAGTATAGCGAGACCTCTTCTGCTTTATGGGAAGGCATGGGGAAAGATAGTGCAGTTCAATACACTAACGACTTACACCTGCGAGCAGGAAGCACATGTGTACTTAGCGGAGCATTATACAGATCCAAATCTCAGGATGGAACCATCTTTCCAAGACGATGTTGACGAATACCACGAATTCTTCCTCTACAAGCTTGGCTTAGTGCGCCGCGTCGAGGAAGGTATACTTGTAGAGCACGAAATGAAAGCAACTTGGCGATGTTATGGTACTGCTAGGGAAGGCGATGTGTTGGTGTCATTAGAGCCAGATTTGTGGAATTTTGTTCTTCGAAAATGCTCTAAGTCAGGCGATCTGTTTGAAGTAGTGGCATGGGGTGATAAAATGTTCACCAACCTTGGGGGTTCTGATATGCCCGTTCCTGTGCCCGTCAAAGACACATCTGCATACTACTTGGGCGAAGTTGAAGAGGAAAAACGAAAATGGATGTCGGGGAGATGGCGTCCAAATGATGCACCAGGACCCAGGCAGCGGTTCGAAATCCGATAACCTTCCCAGAGATCAGATAAAACGAAGTGTAATTGGTCATTCTAGTCTGCACTGTTCTGTTATTGTGATGGGACAACAGTTCAAGTCTTTGAGAAAGGAGACTATGCTGCCGTTTAATGCCAGGTGTAGCCAAGCAGCCAGACACCCATGCATGTGTAGAATCTATCGCAGCGCATTACGTTTATAAGCAAATGTGTTGCTTTTGAGTGATTGTCCCCAAACGTCAAGTAAGAATGAAACGTTCTCTCCTCAAAGCATGGAAGTCTGGTAGAGGACGAAAATGCCCCAGGGTTTCTTTCTGCCAATGCCCCTGATAATCGCACCATCGTGTAATTCGGCCATCGACTTCCATATCCCGACCCCCAAGAACAGTGTCCGGGATGTTTTGTTCGCATCTAATATCAAATTTGTACCGTATTTCCTAGTCCTAAGATTCATATCGCGTACCAGTGTTGGCGTGTCTTCGTGCGTATATCCAGTACGTCGCCGACGACCCAACCACGGATGCTGCAGGAGACCAGTATCGTCAGATGCATGGCTGATATCCAAAGCGACTTGCCAAGCGTTTCTTTTTTTGAACAAGGCATGAAAGACGTGTTGTATGAGCTCAGGGTATGGACCACCATCGAACAGCAGTTTGAAGGCGCTGGTCGACATGGCGAGGTACTGCAGGGCGTTCACTTCTGTCATCCATCGTGCGATTGTTTTTGTTTCGCATTGCGACCACATGCAGTCTTCGCTTCTATGGTGACTCGCGCGTAAAGAGACCCGGATGTCGAGAGGCATATCCTTCGAGTTTTTGGCATCTGATGGATACGAAAAAGAAGGAACAGTAAGCGGTGGTGATGCTTCGCTCAATGCGCCGCTTAAGCATCCGTGGCAGAAGCGAACGAAGGCCGTTTATATGACTCTATGACTGCGCGATAGATTCGTTGTCTTCGATCGACATGATTTGGCGAATATATTTGCGCATTATGATCGGCACATTCTTTAAACATTCAATCGCGAGGAAGGCGGCGGAATACCTGCAGTTCGCAGTGCCGTCGTAAATCGAATGTTCATCGTAGTGTGCCCCACGTACACCCCCATTCACATTCGAGATGCGTCCTGGATGGCTAAGCTCTCTATTTCCAGGTATTTTCCATGGAAGAAGCCCCGTTAAGTTTGTTTTTGGGGGAGGTGGTACGGAAAATGATGCTGCTGAGCTGAAAGAAGCATACCCGAAATTCGTTGTAGACAGCATGGCAAGTGTACGCGAGCGATCTGCTGATACGTTCGTCACTCGTGGTCGTTGGAATTCATGTTGCGGGATCGTATACGGAGTCATCTATATTTGTCTTGTATCGCTCGTAGTCGTGTCCTGAAGCTGGTATTGTAGATGATTTTGGTTGCTGCCGGGTTATGTTTTGATGCGGATTTAGGTATGTCTGGAAGTATATCGGATGCCCTATCGAGGCTTTCCTGATCCTCGATGGATATTGAAGCCAGAGGCTTGAACCTGTTCGTTCATCCTGACGCGGTGTATGCTGGGAGAAGTCTGATGCAACCGATAAGCTAATTTCGTTACCTATATGTGTTGATGTAGAGGCCTGGATGCCGTCGAGAAAACCGAATTCACGCTGATCGGTTTGCGAAACCATGGTCGTACAATCCCATGAATCCATTTCAAGCACGGTACTGCGATGACCATGGTACACACACACACTTTGGCTGCTACTCACAGGCTATCCACTCTCTGTGAGTATTTTTCCAAAGCAAGACTACAGCTCCTTGCTAAGCTCAAAGTACAATGCCCAATGGTTCTTGCACCCTGGATTGAATGCGCTTGCACATCGCGTACATTTGCTTCCGCTCTCCATGTATTCGGAAATGGTCAGAATGTGCTTGCACTGTCCGCAAAGTACCGCACTCTCATCTCTTCGCGCAAGAGGCCAGACAAAAGACATGTGTGATTCGCAGGCATCATGACAGCTGATGCAAGCGTAGAACTTTTGACAGCAGAAGTGCTTGATGGCGATGATGTCGAGTGGGGAGTGCCAGTGAGCGCATTGCGTCAGCGGTGTCACAGAGATACCGTGAACGATTGGAGCTTCTTGGGTATTGGATATCACGGTAGTCTCGGGCACGTGGAGCTGTTCATCGGAGCTTTTGGGCTTGGGGCCCTGGCGAGTTCCGCGCATCTGTTGTTTTTGCTTTCTGAACTTCTCACGGCGGTCAGCAAGGTCGCCGTAACGCTCACGATCGTGGAGGAGCTTGTAACCGGTGCTGGGGTGTATATCAAAGTCTTTGAAGATGTCCCGCGCCGTTCGCTCGCCCTTGCGCTCAAAAGCTTCAAAAAACCGCACCCGACGAGGTGTGTCCATATGTTTCTTTACCGTATGGCCGGGAGGTTGTCGGCGAGGCATCTGCGCGCAAAACTATGGGGTTTATAGGTGATTGTGCTGTTCCGGTTGTCCAGCTAGAGCTTGCATGTAGATGATGTCGGCCGGCCGGCTGTGAGGCTGAAAGCTAAGGAGTAATAGCATGCGGGACGATCACGTTAGCGACCCCACTCTTTCATCATCGCTTCGTCCTGCAACATCACGAAGCAGGTGGTATTGATGGTGCTGTAACATGCCCTTTGATCAATGTATGAAGTTGAAGAGTATGATAGATATCTCAGCGTTCTCAAGTACTACATGTGGCTTCCGTATCTACCCGACACCCTGATGGCGAGCTGTGATCATGTGTAACGCATGATCGCGATAGTTGCCAATAAAAAGAAGAAATTTCAACAAGTCTCCATTGTTCCATAGACAGCTCACCCAAGCCCGAGTTTTGCCGGATGCTGTAACAGCTCAGAATGATCCGACGTCACTAGCCCCGCGGTAACCCCACTAAAGCTGTAAGAAGTGCTGCTGCTCAACAACAACAGCTTCTTCATCTCAATTCCACACTTCAATCTCAACTTGACACTTTTGATACCCCTACATACCACCTCTTTATCCAAAAAATCTCAACACAACCGCAAACATGGGTCGCCAATTCTTCGTCGGAGGTAAGCAATTCACTCTGGGAGCGGCATTGAGACAAAACTAACGGCAATCAGGTAACTTTAAGATGTTCGTAACTTCACAAGCCGTGAGTCGCTCAATGAAAGAGAGAGACTGACGAAACTAAGGAACGGCTCTATTAAGAGCATCACCGACATCGTTGAGAACCTGAACAAGGCCAAGCTCGACCCCAACACAGGTACGTTGAAACGCATCTTCGGCGACTCAAGAAGGCGCAAGATCCATCGCATTAGCAAAGTACGAAAAACTAACCCTCAACCAGAGGTCGTCATCGCACCCCCAGCCCTCTACCTCCTCCTCACACGCGAGCACCTCCGCAAGGGCCTTGAGGTCGCAGCGCAAAACATCTTCGACAAGCCCAACGGAGCCTTCACCGGCGAGATCTCGGCTGAGCAACTTAAGGACAGTGGCATCACCTGGACCTTGGTCGGACACTCGGAGCGTCGCCAGATCCTCCAGGAGAACGACGACTTCATTGCCAACAAGACAAAGACAGCGACCGACAACGGTCTTGGTGTCATTCTGTGCTGCGGCGAGAGCCTGGAGCAGCGTGAGGCGGGCGAGACCGTCAGCGTTGTTACCAAGCAGCTCAAGGCTGTTGCGGACAAGGTCAAGGACTGGAGCAAGATTGTCGTTGCTTACGAGCCCATCTGGTGCGTTCATTCTTTTCGACTACAATGCATCTACAGTCACTAACGAATAACAGGGCCATTGGTACCGGCAAGGTCGCAACCACCGAGCAAGCACAGGAGGTCCACGCCGCCCTCCGCGAGTGGCTCAAGAAGGAGGTCTCACCCGAGGCCTCCGAGAAGACCCGTATCCTGTACGGTGGCAGTGTCTCGGAGAAGAACTGCAACGAGCTTGCCAAGCAGGCCGACATTGACGGTTTCCTCGTCGGTGGTGCTAGCTTGAAGCCTGCCTTTGTTGACATCATCAACGCTAACCAGGCATGAATTTCGCGAAGTGATGGCGCTCGTCTATAGATGATTTGAGCGTGCTTCGGCAACGATCTTATGAGAGACTTGAGCTGGCTATAAAACAAAAAGTATGTAGAGTCAGCATAATGAACGTTATGAAGATCAACTGTGTTGGTTCCAAGCATGTCCGTGAAGTTAGCATATTTGATACATTGTTTGTACAATCGTTATGTGTATTCCAAACGGTATATGTCGCTCGTATGTCTCTGAGCATACTCGGACCATGTCAGCTTCTGCGACAATAATCTCACAGAAGCATCACACATTTTGTCATCCCGCAGAGCCGGCCCTATGCCAATCGCTGGACCTCCATTGTGTATATCATCCATAGCCATCCACTCTCCATGCTCATATCTCGATCTTGCTTCCGTGGAACGGACTCCAAATACCCCTAACGCTCTCATTCAAACTCTTCACTGGTCGTCCATCCAGTTTCCTGTTCTTCTCCCCTGTGCTGTTCCTCAGCATCTCAGCCTTTTCCCTCACGCCCTCGTTTTGCAGGTTCTTCACACATATTGACCGTTGGGCGCCGTTGAGGTAGTTTGCAATGATTACGGGGTGTTTGCGTGGCCGTGGGCTGACGGAGATTTCAATCTGAGGGTTGCGCTTGGCGAATGCGGGCAGGGAGGCTTTGAGGAAGGCGTTCATGCCCTTGGACGACCCCCACCAGTTGCAGTAGTGGAAGGTGAGGGACTTGCATGGGAGGACAAAGGCTCCTACGCCGTTCTGCCGTGGTAATCAGCACCGGGGGAGTGGCGAATGAGGGGATACGTGGGTCTGCGAAAACATACCTGAGCCTTTGCGACCGTCTTGATAGCCGAGACAGGCATGTTGGCGTGCAATGGCGGTAGTGACGGCGGTGCGGTCACCAGTCTCGACGTCCCCAAAAGTTTGGCGTTCATCTCACGTGCGGCAGTCGCAGCCTAGGTTTGCGCTAGTGCGAACTCCGCGTCGCAGCTTCCTCGAGCAGTTCCTCCCCCCCAAAACATCGACTCCCCATTCCACACTTTGTAATTCCAACTATTCCACATCGCTGTCTGGAGCGCATTCCAGAACAAAACAAGCCAGCATGACGCATCTACTCCCCCCGATGCTGTTGAACCTGTTCGCCCCGCGGCCGCCGCTGCGATGGGTTGAGCCGGCCGACCACGCGCCTGAGAAGCGCTGCACGCCCAAGATTAGTGGCGTGGGCCAGTACCTCGAGGCGCTGAGGGAATACAAAGACAACGACGGCTATGTGCCCACCGACAGCTGGCTGCAGAAGCGCGATCGCAAGAAGCTCGAAAAGAAGGAGAAACAGGAGCACCTGCTTACCGAAGGGGTCAAGGATTGTACGACATCACTACGCGCACTTTTCATCTCACCTGCGCAATCACTATTTGCGCCCATATGCTAACATCACGCAGACAAACCCGCCGAAGATCCCAAAGTCCAGGGCGACGCTTTCAAAACGCTCTTCGTGTCGCGCTTGTCGTATGGCGTCACTTCTGATGACCTCGAGCGCGAATTCGGCCGCTACGGTCCTATTGAGCGCATCCGCATCGTCGAAGACGTTACTCAGCCCGCCGACGCGCCAGCCAAGAAGCGAAAGCGCGGTTACGCTTTCATCGTGTTTGAGCGCGAAAAGGATATGAAGGCCGCCTACAAAGAGACCGACGGTATCAAGATCAAAGACCGCCGCGTATTGGTAGATGTCGAGCGCGGTCGCACAGTCTCTGGATGGCGCCCTCGTCGCTTCGGTGGCGGTCTCGGCGGACGAGGCTACACCAAGGGCCCATCTGCTCGCGGTCCGAGTGGAGGTGGCAGCCAATTTGGCGGCCCCCCAGCTGGCCCTGGTGGCTTCGGAGCTCGTGGCGGCGGCTTTGGGGGTGGTTTTGGCGGACGCGGTGGCGGCCGTGGCGGCTTCGGAGGCGATAGAAGTGGTTTCGGCGGACGAGGTGGATTTGGAGGTGGAGGCCGTGGTGGACGTGGTGACTTTGGTGGTGGTCGTGGAGGGATTGGTTACCAATCCAATGGCTACGGTCCTCCCGACGGCGCGCCAGCAGGTCCGCGTGGGCCACGAGGCGGTGGCTTTGGTGGTGATCGAGGAAGTGGAGGCGATCGAGCTGGAGGCGGTGGAGGACGATATGAAGATCGTCGTGGCGGTGGTGGAGGTGGATTCGACAGAGGTTCCAGCGGTGCTAACAATGAACCGCTTGGTAGCAGAGATCGGTATCGCGATCGCGACGGTGGTGGATACGGTGGAGGCCGAGACGACTCCAGGAAGCGCGGTTACGAAGGCGACAACTACGACGATCCGCGACAGCGCCGCAGATACTAGTCTGACTCGATGCTGGCTCGGGTGGTTTCCACTCGCTGAGCGAAGTGTCCTTGTGCAAGGGTTTGTCAAAAAGGTTACCTCCCTTTTCTTCGCCTCACCTTCACGCTTTCTCGCCTTTGAGGGTAAGATCTTGACGTTCGACCATACAACACAGCGATGCGGATCTGGATGGTAAGGGTTGAGATGTGTTACCTCTAGGTTGACGATCGGTCCGTCGATGATATCTTCTCATCGGCTCTTCCGAGTTTCGACTCATCGATTAAGCAAAAGGTACAGCACAGCACCTCACAGCAGTCGGCCACAAAGTCACAATTCTTCCATCACCCAGGTTTCGCACAGGTTTGGTTTTAGGCCAGGACGGGGATTTCTCTCTCTCGATGGGTAGGCGCAAGGTGAACTTTTTTCCTCCGCGTCATGTTTTATTAGCTTCTTTATTTTTTGGTTTCCATACGTCCCGGATTTCTTTTTCATTGGTCTTTTTCGCGAGAGTTGCTGGGTAGGTATAATGTAAGTTTATAAAGCACGATTTTGCGTTTTTGAGTAGTTGCAAAGATGGTGGTCCAAGGTAAGGTTAACAGGTAAAGGATGTTTTGTCTTCCGAACTTGGTTGATCTTATCGTGATTGGTGGTGTTGTTGTGGTCCCGGATATTGAAAAAAAGCATTCTTGGCTGTTCAAGTTGTACCATGTTCGAAGTTTTATGTGGATAGCTTTCATGACAAGCACAGTAGTTGAATGGAAGACTTGATACGCGGATTCGTTCGCTTCGTAACTTCACTGTTGTTACCTGTGCCTGACCTTGATGACAATCTCTGCAATGTCCTGCCGTATCCACGCCTTCCTCTGGCAGATATCCACCGTCGTCCTACTCCAATAGTCTCCCGAGCTAGGGATTACCTTAGCCGTTCCATAACATATGTCGGTGATGCAGCTCAGACCTTATACTCTCGTGATAATCCTTTGTGTGCAGCTGTACCTGCATGTATACCCTATCTGCCTAATCGAACCCTTGTGTCTTGTTTGATGTCGGCATAACTACAGGAGAACATGTAAGTGTCCAACGAGTATGTTATTAAAACTTCTCTAGCTTCACATATTTCGACCACAAAAAGCTAAAACCTTTCGTTACACTTGACTCACCGATCCAATACGCGGCCGCTGGCTGGTTCATATATGACCCCTACCGAACTATACTTGTCTCACATTATTAGCACATCGCGTTGTACGGGAATCGGTGTATGACGACGTAGATGGACTTGACTAGTTCTGATACGAAGTGCATTGGAAAAATGCATAATGGTAAGGTGTTATCAGCAGTCACGTTTTCGGTTTGACCATCGCCCACGTCGTCCCCACAAACATCATTAGCGTTGATTTCACGTCTTACTTCCATCACGTCTCTTCAGTACGGTATCGGCAACCCTTTCAACAAGCCGGTGGTCGTGAGAGCATCTGACGTCAGCTATCACGATGTCACGCAAAACCACTTTGGCGATTTTTTTCGTCTACGAGCAAGACTTCCGATTTCATTCTTTTCTAATACATCAGATCCGATCTACTAAACTCAAGTCAATACGACTCCAGCTTTGAGTCTCGACCCCCGGGCTAGTCCCACTAGGCATTCTACTACCCTGTCCGCAACTTCCAAGCACGTTGGCTAGCGCCAAGGTGCTTACGGTTATTTGACAGGAAAGAAGCGGGTCGACAAGTCCGAGCTACTGAGCCCCGTGAATGTCCCCTTGTCCGTTATCTTTTTGCCCGACTTAGACTTCCACGTCACCGTAAAAGGCACATCCATAAGCGTCTGCGTCACTGTCGCTGTGACCCTCATCTTACTACGTGGTGGTATGACCAAGTTCACAGTAGCCTGCCATGACTGCGTCATCGTATTCGTACTCCCCCACTTAAGATTGGTGTGCACCTTGGCGCTAACTTCGACTTTGCCCTCAGCTAAGACAGGTACCCCGCAACTGAAGGACGTGGTAACGCCTATTTCGAGACCTGCTTCCGTTTCAAAAGTCGATTGTTGCTCGGTTGTCTCGCTGATGGACATGCTTTGTGACTGGTTTTCTTTGTCGTTGTCGTTTGAACCTTCTTGAGAAAAGATGCCTTTGGGTTGTACGCTCCTGATGACTGCCTTTTTCAGGTCATATTCGATCCCGACGAATTCTAGAGGCTCGATTTCAAAAGTGAACCATTGGTCGTCGTACTCTTTATCTTTGATGCTGATGCAGCCTAACTGAGGTTCCATGTCGGTTCGGGAGAACATGACGCCGTCACTGGAAGGAGCGTGGAGGCGAAATTGACCGGCTCTAAAGCCTTGGCCTTGTTGCTCTTTCAGATCGAAGTAGTGGTCCGGATAACTGCCAACTGGCTCGAAGGTTCCGACGTGCCGACCGTCACCGTTGCTAGGATTGACAAAGAGGGCACGGTTTGTTCGATAGCTTACGATCAGGTAGCGACCGGCTTGTTTGCCTTCTCCAGGCTTGATATACCAGTATTGGTCATCGTATGGTACCGTCGTATCTACATGGTTGAGAGAATTGTAGTCCCTCTCGTGGCTGTAGAGGACCATCCTGGACTTCATACCAACGATGCGCGTGCGAATCTCCGGAGGAGGGATGGCAAGTGTGGAATTCATGATGTCGAAGTCTCGAATACCTGAAGCTAATGGATGATTGTTCTCTGATTGCTTTACGTTGACCGATGTAACAGAGATACCTAGGTATCCTCCAAGTTGATGACGATACATCCACTGACATGATTGACAGTGAGAACATCTGGATCCAAGGGTATGGGCACTTCAAACTTCCAAGGTTCACTCTCATGCACTTGCCGCTTCCGCTTTGCACACGCGGCTCAGTTGTCATCGCGCACGGGGCATCGATTCGTTTAGTATAAATCTTGCTCTAAATAGGCCTAACCTTTGTAGATATCTCAATTCGATTGATCCATGCATCAGGCAGAAGATCAAATCATAGCGATCCCAGCACCCACTAGTGCCTGGTAAAGCTGCAAGTGCATGAGAGTGTATCTGTTGGTGTCAAGAGATGATGTCCTCCAAGCTGTGCTCATCTTTTTGTTCCGGCTACCTTGACTTCTCAGTGTAAGTCTTCTTTCACACCATCTATTGACCCATAATAGCGACTAGACTTTTTCCCTATCAAAAACATTGATTGAATAACCTGATTGTGATCATTCTTTGTTATTCAAGCTGGTCGTAGTCGAGAGTACGCAACGTTTCTTTCCGCATTAGAAGTGCAGATGGCACTGCTAACTATCTTGGGCATATCCAGAAAGAATACCGGTGCAGATACCCAAAATGGCAAATGGGCAACTGAAAGACGTTCAGGTATTCTAGAATTCAATGCTTGTGGGTGGGAGTCTTTGGTCGGATTCTACATAGTGTAGATGTACGCTAATCCATGTGATCATGCACACATATCACTGACCGACCCATACGAGCCGTACCGCTGCCGCTTGGCCCACATGGTTGTTGTTCAAAAAAGCAAAACATTTGAAAAGCGCCGCCGCCGGTGTAAATGATGTAATAAAAATACTGCATATGTGCGTGACAATGGATCTGGATTTTGAGCAGCTAGAGTCGTGCATGCTTAGCACACCGCTTCTATGACTATACGATTTGGATCAGCAGACTGTGCAAAGAATGGGTGACAGCTGCTACAAGATATGCGAAGATCGGTATCGATCGATTGCAGAGTACAATGAAGTGTCCTTCCGCAAAAGTTTAGTCATACAGAATAGTACCCAAGCACCGGCTGCATTGCCGTTTGCGCCGTGAATTCAGCAAACGAAATTTAGCCACTGCCGATACTGAGTGTAGGCGTGGGTCAGTTTCGCAGCTTCGTCGTTTTTCCGTGGCATTGTACCGTCACCAAACGATATGTAACATTCATTTGCAGAACTTCAGGATTGAGATGCCAGGTTCAAGAACAACATTAAACGAAGACCAGTAGAATGATATTCCTAAATACGATTGTCCACCAAGTGAATTCGAGGCTGGCGAGTAAAGCTATCTCTATTACTGTATCTGCCACGTACAAAATGCACAACGGCTCCACCCATCCTGCGCTTATTACCTGGTTCCTAAAACGTGCGCATCACACTAGCTGCTCAGCAGACAAATGGTGTGACGACAAAAGGCACTGTGATGCTGACTGAGAGTCAAATTCTTATGTCTTAGGGATGGCCTTGGTGGTCACTGTAGGTAATCACTCATCTTCTCCATACCTCTGCCAGAAAAAAGCAATTGGAAAGAGTGCTCCAGACTCTATGTATGTGGAGACTGTTGAGCCGCTGTCTGGGCACTGCGATAGTGGATGTCATACGGCCTCTGTGACGTGTATCGGTCTGGCGGATGCTTTGATTGCGAGGGATGTGTGGATGTTGATGACGTTGGCGACGAGGGTGAAAGCTTCGGTGACGACGCTCGCCGCGACGCAGGCTCGTTAGGATGTGAACCGAAGTATCGTGATACTATGTAGCCTTCAAGCTCTACGGGGAGTCTTGTGCTGAACAAGTGGTATCTATCATGGAATGTGTACTCCGACAGTTTACATTCTTATCGAACCTAAAGCGTAGGTGCTCAAGTATGTCTTTGGGGTGGGTTCTAGTGTGCAAGGGACAACTTAGCAGAAGCGGACTCCTTCGTAGATTTACATGAAGAGTGACATAGCCTGAAGATCCTACTGTGGCACCGCAGATGTAGGGTTCTTTACGGACTGAACACATCGATGCTTGTGGTTAGCTTGCATGGCGAGAGAGCATGTTGAGGCTCTTTTTGTTGCGACTACTTTTACCTCTTGAGTCCTATGTGGTAAGAACTAGCGCAACTTTCCCACTTACAAGTCCAAATTACAGCCTCAGCATCGGTTGCGGAAGCTCATGTAGCAGCCCGGCTAAAAACGATCATTATGCCCTGTGGCAAGGTTGCCATCAATCTCTGATCCGGCAAGGCATCTCTTTTAGCATCTGAACACTTCCGTGCCTGTAGAGATAGTTGCTGCCCATGCAAAGAGACACATACACGTTGATGAAATCGAGGTCTGTATTGAAGAAGGCTTTTCATCAATCTGGGACCCATCATTGCGCGTTTTCGAGTGATTGAATCACTGCTTACGAAGATTGCTTTGTGCGTTGCCGTACGATCGCCTGCTGAACAGGCTGGCGAGGAACCGTGTGATGATGTGCAGGAGCGGCCGAATTCTAGAGAACGATGGTAAGTGCTACATTCTACCAATTTTGAAACATCAGGCAGCGAAAAATAAGCACCCGTTTTAAAAAGACGATCACCCTCCTGGGAGTACCAGGTAGGCAATCGAATTTTCTTGCCTGATGTGGCTTCAACGGTCTCCGTTACGCGTGGTGCAGTTGCTCGGCCTGTCCACCCCAAATTCCTACGCCCTCCTCACAGTGAAAGCGAGAACTTGGGCGTCAATTAGTTAGATATGGATTGGGGAAACCGGTGTTTATCGAGTTGATGGCTTTCGCTTACGGACACGCCGATGACCAATCCTACAAAGAGATAAGCGCCGACGATCTGATGTCTCTCGTCGAATGACTTCTCGTAACACTTCGCCGTCCAAGATCTCGTAGAACGGCGCCCAGACTATGGCGCCTTCTAGTCCATCAGCCTACGTGCAGCTCCAGTCGCGCCATGTCAGCTACTCCAGGGATCTCGGTCATGAGGACGTAGCGCGGTACAATCATGCCCAGTACGTGCGAACGCCAACATACGTTCCTTGTCTGGAGACGATGACGGTGCATCTATCGATCACAAAGAAGGAGCGCTATTACGGAGATTTGTAATGCTATTCGGACCGGTTGCGCTTTATAAGAGAGTTGACTAGTTATTGGCGGCCAGCCAAGATATCGGACCCGAACCGTTCTCCTCGATCTCCGTGTTGTAACTCCGCTAGTCGACTCATTCGTTCGACTATTTATCTACGAGCTTGACGGCATATAATTGGGTCTCGACTGAGCAGTCCAATCACATCCGAAAACGACATCTTCACACAACTTACCCACAAGATCAAGATGCCACAAACAGGCGGCAAAGGCCCTGGTCTCTTCTACGTGCGCTCTGGCATTGCCCCATCAGCAAAAGATGTTCTCTCTGAAGCCACGTTTATGAGATGGTACGAGGAACATGCCGAAGAAGTTGTAGCTAAATCTGGCATCGATTCCTTGTTTCGGTCAGCGTCACTCCACCAATTTGACCGACAAATTTTATTAATGAATGATGTATCTAGATATAATGCAACTAGTAAAATTAGCGCGTTCGATGGATCAAAGCCCTTCCTGACATTTCCTGTGTTGGATGACATCGGGTTCCTCCTGTCCGAAGAGTTCAAGAGTATCAGTCCGACGAGCGAAATTTTGCCTGGCACAGGTAACGTGTTTGACCTGGTTGAGTTTGACGGCAACCATTTGGCTTTGAGGCAAAACTTGATGATCAAAAAGGGGAGTAATGGTGCGTTCCCCGATTCTTGCCAATCTTCAGTCTTGACATTAATGCTGTGCAGAGCCAGCAAAGAGCATCGTGACAGTGGAGATCCAGCCGCCCACAGGCCTTGAAGCAGATGAAGTCAGTGCTTTATTAGGCAAGCAGGTATCCCGACTGAACGGGGGATCAGGATACACCGGTAGCCTTATTTTCGAGAGTTGTTTCTCCTTCGCTAGTGCAGGGGCCAGGAAGCCGGAGGGTGGTCAAATGGATATGTGGCACGAACCACCGTCTTGGGTGGCAATACATACATTCAGTGGTGCTGTTGGCGACGACATGGTCAAGCTGATAGAGCTGGATCTGCATGAGATGCATGGAAGTACTGGAAACATGCACAGTGAGGTTAGAGCGTGGAGTCTTCAGGGAAGTTTTGGAGAAAAAAAGTTGTTTGAGTAGTTTTCGGTCCGTCTGGAGATGGTATCGCAGCCGCATCTTTGAGAGCTGCATAGCTAAGTCATTGCTAGAGTGTGACGATCTCCTCCATGTCGCCAACCTTGTAAAGTTTGATATACTGGCCAGACTATAATGACATCACTACCCCCATCGATGTCTGGCAGCTAAGATGACGCTACGATAGTCATGCAGATCAGTGGACGTGGGCTTTCTGCAGGCTTCGAAATCACTTGGTAGCTTTGTGAGGAGCTGCGCGCGGAGAGCTGATGCATAAGTGTATCATCGTTATATTCGGTAAAAAGAAAAGAAAAACAAGAAAGAAAAAGGAAAAAGAGAAGAAACTATAGTGTGCTGAACTTCTCCAGTGATTTGCGTTACAAATCTAGGATTGCGCGCTTCCGATTCTCAAATGCTCTCAACGAGGCTGAAACACCCGGAGCGAAAACTTCGAAGACATGAGGAAGGCCTGAATATACGTGCAATTCTGTGTCAATGTTGGCCGCTGCGAGTCTGGTTAGATAGATAAGATCCTCTTCCAAGAACAAATCGAGAGACCCGACGTCCATGTACGTCGACGGTAGACCATGAACATCCTCCACTCGAGCAGGAGCAGCATAAGCTGGCACTTCATTTGTACCATACTTGTCTCCCAAAAGTGCTTTCCAAGCCGTCCTGTTATCATCGCCGTGCCAGATAGCATATTTCGATACACTGCTGAGGTCCCGATCAGAGCGGTCGTCTAACATGGGATAGATAAGGATTTGCTTGGCGAGGGGTGGCTGTAGGCCGCGGTCTCGAGCTAACAGTGCAACGCCGGCGGCAAGACCGCCTCCAGCACTGTCTCCCATGACAGCAATCCGGCTGGGATTTATGTTGAATCTGCTTGCGTTCTGTGACACCCATGTCAAGGCGGCATAATTATCCTCCACTGGGACTGGATGTTGATGCTTAGGAGCAAGCCTGTACTCCACAGAGAATAGCTGCACATCGGTTGCAGCGACCAGCTGGGAGAGATACCCAGTGATCATTTCGGGAACTCCGCCGATGAAACCTCCGCCATGGAAATAAACTATACAAGGCTTCAATTCGCCCTCTTGCCCTCCGGTGACTGGAGACAGCTGTTGCAGCCTGATCGATGTACCGTCGCTCGAAGGGATCCAATGATCGGTGGCCTCGATTCCCTCGGTAATCGGTTGTTGAGGAGCCATGGATACGAATGCTGCCATACCCTTGACTCGGGACTCAACATCAAAGACGGGGGCCTTCGGAACTGATGCAAGAGCCTGAGCGAAAGGTTCGAATGCCTTTGCAAACTCTGCGTCTACTTTCAGAGCCATGATGGAAGGAGTAACCGAAGGTCTGACAGGTATAACCTGTAGTTGGAATGCGATGTCGGATCGTGAATCTTAGATTCAAATGAATATGGGAAGTAACTTGAAGAATAGTCCACGGGACTGTTAACAATATGTAGATAGTAAGTGCGAGAGAATCTGCATACTGTGGGATAATCTCAGGGTTGTACGGCTTAAGAACTAACGACGCAAACCAGATTCGCCACTTCTATCCGCAACACGATCATCTAGCAAAGTACGGAATCGCTTAGTAACTCGTAAACTGCCTAAATTCCAGTCTGCTTAACAACCCGTTGTTTTGTTTTGTATGATAGTCGCTAACGAGCCGAGCCGAGACCGAGGCCGGAATAGTAATCAAAGCAGACGGAGCTAGTGAAGTGTGGATGGACAATTTCAAAGAAGGGATTTGTTGGAAAGCTGCATCATCGAGTGTTGCACTAAAAGTCCTGCATATCCAAGAGATTCACTATTCCGCACGGAGGGAACAGCTGATTTTAGGGGCTTTTTACTCACATGCAATGCTAAGTAACATCCGAGCGAGTGGCAGGTTACATAACAGTGTTGTAATGCGATTTCTCGTCGATTTGACTATACATGTTGTGCAAGAGTCCTATTCAGGAATGTTGCACTGGGTGCTTTAGAGGATTGCGAAGAGCATCGGCTGGCTACAGCAATAAATGTCATGCAAAACGCGCACTGTGCAAATGAGCACGATAGAGAAGCGGGTTGCATACAGCACAAACGAAAGTATTACATCTTTGGAGCTTCGCTAAGTTTGGATCATTATAGGTGGAAGAAAAGACTAAGAGCGGAACTAATTCATATAGATTCCCCCGCCCGCCTGGATAGTCTGTCCGGTAATCCATCTGCTAGCTGGATCCGCTATCATAGCAATAGTCAAGGCGATATCCTCAGCTTTTCCAAGCCTGTGCTCCATTGGAGTCATGTCCCTCTGCTGCTGAAGCACATGCTTGTTCTCTTCTCCTCCAAATGACCGAGTCTGCATGTCCGTTTCCGTCAAAGCTGGAGCCACTACGTTGACTGTGTGACCTGAAGCGCCTAGTTCAGCTGCCCAGCCACGACTGAGAGCCTCTAGAGACGCCTTAGTTGCAGAGTAGAGGCTATGTGTAGGTCGTCCTATACGACCCAACGTAGATCCGACTGTGATGATCCTGCCGGGACTCCGGAGATACGGGAGGACAGCTTGAGTCATAAAAATGACGCTGCGAACATTCGTATCGAAGAGACTTTGGTAGCCTTCTACCGTAATATCGGGAAGCAAGGCATGGAATTCCTTGCCAGCGTTGTTGACTAGGATATCGATCGAGTCTCCAAAAGCAGCAATGGTCTCGGCAACAATCTGCTTCGGCGAGTCGATGTTTGCAGCGTCGGCCTGGATCTTGATTGCAGAGGCACCATTGCCAAGATTGTTGATCTTGGATACCACTTGATCTGCCAATTCGGAGCTACTAGGTGATACGAATGTAATGGCTACCTGTCATTCAATCAGCCCTAATAATTGTGTCTAAAGATTGTGGTACCCACCTTTGCTCCCCGTTTTGCAAGCTCCAACGCAGTAGAAGCTCCGATACCGCGAGCTGCACCAGTAACGATAGCGATCTTACCTGCCAACGGCAGAGATTGGGTATTGGTTGTCATGTTGAAAGTAGGTAATGTGGTCAACTATCGAGTAATTTTCGTGTAGCTATGATTGCTGATTACACTGTGCAAGTGCCAGCATTTATATCGCCATAGGTTGATGACATGACGCTCAGGTAAAACATCCAGAATTATTAATCACCGAGATTGATGCTTGAACAAACGACAGCCTGGCGAGCAAGATGCACGTCTCGGCGAGATTTGGCTAAACAGTTGAACGATATCCTACCATCAAAGTCACTAATACCTATCCACCACGAGTCCTAGCTCAGCATCTCTAGAGCCTCAACTAGGCTTACATCATTCTTGATCATTGCGGTGGCTTTAACGCGATCGGACACCATCTAAAAGGATTATGATTTGCTGCGATTCGTACTACATGGAGTGAGGTTATGGCACGCTAACCGAATTCGGTCACTCAATTCGCCAAGGCTCTGACCGTTGAGCCCGCTAAACTTTCTTTTTTGATTAGTGATATCCAAAACTTAAAGACCTCGGAGTTTCGAGTCCGAGGTCGTGATAGGTTGGACAGGACTGTGTAAACTTGGAAACGACTAAGATCTCGGCCCCTAGGATCGATGCAGATCACTGCATGCACAACTATGCTTTTGACAGCACGGGATCAGCCAGCGCTTGACGGTAGCGCCCATCGCTAGGCGATCGAGCTCTTGGCTGGTCGCGGAACTCTCCCTAAAAGGCTTAGTTGGGTTGATTCGTAATACGTCAGTGTTACTCAGAAAAAAAGGAGTAGCTTTAGATAGTTGTGTGTAGAATGCATCTTGTGATTTTTTGCTCGGGTAGCATACCTAATTATCACGACATCACGACGAACCTCGGCCGGCTGCCCATCCATCTGACAAATTCAACCCTTACAGAAACATTCGGAATACTATAACGTAGCGAAAGATTATATATAACCAAGTCGAATTGCAACCTCTTGGATCATCAACACAATCACACGTCCTTTGCTTTCTCAATCGATCAATCAATCACAACACCAAAATGGCCTTTACCGAGTTCGTCATCCCGACTTTGAAGACAGATCCTGCGACGGAAGCTGTATTCACCAACAAGATCGGACCCTTTCTCGTAGAGATCCTCGATAAACATGCCACTCCTCCCAAGCACAAATACTTCGGAAAGATTCTCCTCGAAAATGGCAATGATGTGTCAGGAGACTTTAGACTTGCTGTTGGACTTGGTCAGTTATGCCCCATCCCATCTCCCTGCCGAACATTCGAACATAGTCTAATACTGATGCCCTGACAGAGTGGGGAGACGCTTCACATTTCCAGTCCTTCGTCGATTCAGAAGACTTCGAGGTCACCTTCAAGTCTCTAGTGATGCCTCATTCTATTGCTCCACCAGTCCCTCAGCTATACAACACGGACTTCGAACCCACCAAAGTGTTTGGAAGTACGTTGACGGAGGTGTGGCAGGGGAAGATTGGGGAGGGTAATGAGAAAGTAGCAGAGTCTAGGGAGGCGTGGAAAAAGTTTGTTAACGCAGTTGCGGAGGCAAATGGCTCAAAAGGAACTGAGGAGAGCATTCAAGGACCAAGCGTAAATCTAGAGGAGAAGAGGTGGGTTGGTGTATTGGGATGGGAGAGCATGGAGGTAAGTCTCAAATGTCTCTTACGTCGTAGATTGGTAAAGAACAGTTCGCTAACTTTCAGATCTAGAACCGCGCGAAGGTGCTTGGTAACCCAGCTGTTCAAGAAGCGAAAAAGGGTCTTGATGGGTTGGTGTGGAATACCTTTGTTACCGCGTTCCAAAAGTAACTGTAGGTAGTTCTAGCAACGTCAAGTGAAGGAAGACTGTAATTAGCAGAGTAACACGTTTTTAAGGCTCATTTCTCAATCACAGACAGTGAAGTGAATCTTAAAATGCAGCAGTGATAGCAACAGTTCTCACTCTCGATTCTGCATCTCTTGAACGGAAAAACTGTTCGTATTGTTGGACAAAGTTCGCCACTATTCTGTAATCGACCCGGGTATTGGTGAAACATATTTTCACCACTGTGAATAAAATCGTAGTTCAATAGCGTTATACTCGCGTTTTTACCAGTCCGTTCATCACACCAATACAAAGGAGTTACTTCGGCATGACTACAAACCGCTGCACAACGAACGTCAGGGCCTAGCAGCTACAAACACGATGTTTGTGTTGTCATAGAGTTACGTTCGGCAGGTAGGCCGGAACTCTGACGTAGGCGCAAGACATTCTAGCCAGGGTTGGGAGAGTTCTGTATCGGCATGTTTGAACAAGGCAGATTTTTTCATCGCAACATTTGAGAAATTTCCGTTCAAGACGTCACCATCAACTGTGAAGAACCTCTATAGTGGGAAGCAATTACGTAGACCTAGTCAGATAGATCTACCACTTAAGCTAAAAGTAGTACTCTTTATGGATGACCCCCTGCCTATACACAAGTACAGCAAGTCTCGAAGCGAAGAACCGATAGTGAGAGCGGGTGTGTACTAGACTTTTACATGAATTACTACCACAAAATCTGTCTTGAATATCTACTCGGGAATATGAGCTGCGAGAGGTGAATATCTCTCTCAGTGTATAGGAAATATTTCGTACAACGTTGACAAGATTACGTGATGCAGATTATTCAGGTTGCTTGTAAATATGCTTCCAATTTTGCCTCGATTCACTTTCTACTTCTGGTTATTGCCACCCGAAGAGGCCTGGGGCTTCCTGCTAACCTTGGCGTTTACCGCGGTTTCGCCCTTGACAACACATCTCGCCTACGGATAACTTGCATCACGAAATTGCCTACACACCCACGTTGTTTACATACGTATTGGACTTGGGAGAAAATCCGGCAGGACTAGTAGCTTGGTGGAGCTATATGTTGGTATCTGCAGGGCGATCAATGTGACGCCATCTATGATTAGTGATCACTCATCTGTGAATATATTATATGTCGCATGTGTATGTTACTTTCCAGAACCCAAACAGAATAAGATTATTATACGAACCGATCACTTGTCTCAAAGTACTACTTTGACTACGATCAACTCTTTGAACTCAACAAAGGAAAACCATACTACGACCTGAAAAGATGACAATCGCTATCAACAGTGCGACAGGCAAGCTCGGCGGTGGTATCTTACAGGCCATCCTCGAAAACAAACTGATCGACCCGAAGGAACTAGTCGTTTGCGTAAGACCACCACATGTGCACTTAGACGAGCATTCAGGCTAACATCATCCCTAGACTTCCTCAAATCCAGATGACTCGCGTTTCGATGCTCTCCGCTCCCAAAACATCGATCTGCGCCAGGCCAACTTCAACGATGCCTCCTCACTCAAGAAAGCATTTTCAGGATGTGACACCCTTCTCCTCATCTCCTCGCCAATCATCGAAATGGACTACAACGACGCCCCTCTCTGGCAAGGCCGCGAGAAACACCATCGCGCTGCGATTGATGCTGCGCTCGAGGCAGGCGTGAAGCACATTTATTACACATCACTCGCTTTCAGCAGCACCAGCACGGCAGGCGTGATGCGCGCACATCTCCGCACAGAGTCGTATTTGCACGACCTGGAGAAGGAAGGCAAGGTGAAGGTTACCATCATCAGAGAAGGTCTGTACAACGAAGGCTGGCCCGTAGCCTTCGGATATTATGATCTCAAGGATGATACGAGAAAGGAAATTGTTGTCGCGGGCGATGGCGGCCTGAGCTTCACCAGTATCGCCGATATATGCTTTGGAACGGCCAAGGTGATCGCTGGGTCGGGCGAGTATTGGAGTGGGAAGACGGTACATATCTCCCAAAGGAAGGCGTGGACACTGCAGGACATTGCGAAGATTGTCAGCAAAGTCAAGGGTCAGGATGTTCAGGTCAAGGTTGTGAGCAGGAAGGAGTTTGATGATTTCTACATCGGGAGAGGGATTGACCGTGGTCAAGTCGAGTGGTGGAGCAGCGCGTACGATGGGATCAAGAATGGAGAGTGCGACATTGATGACCCTACGCTCGAGGAATTTTTGAAGGAGGCTGGCAGACGCCCGGAACCGCTTGAGCCAACCATCGAGAAGATGTTGAGCTAAATTGCCTTGGAATCGTCAACGATGCGAGGGAATGAAGAAATTTCTGATCTTTTAGGTGGCTCAGTATTCATGTGGAAGTCGTAGTACTAGAAGCTTAGTTGTAGACTTTGAATCAATCGGGTTGCAATGCTCGCCTTTGCAGGATAGACAAGATGTTTTACACGTCGGTTTATTGCGAAACGTATTGTTAAGAAAGAGTCGAGCTTCAACACTTCTGCGCGAGGTCAACTACACCATGCTTGCAGGCTACTCGTCTCTCTACTTAGGAAACACATGTAGTATATGCGGCACTACACTGGCTATGCATTCTACCAGCCAACATTTCCTCCCAATAAGAACACAAGCATGTGTTAGAAAGAGATGGCCTCCACCGTGTCCAATATGGTGACAGCTTACTGCTGCAGCTCGTTCTAATAGTCCGTATACCTAGTTCGCTCAGCAGAGATACCACACGGAAGCTTTTCGCAATAGGCATTCACTTAGGCTTCATCCCATCAAAGGAGATCTCACAACTGTCGGCTGACCGTGTTCCGTAAGCTTGTCAGACTCGAAGGACTGGCGTTTTGCTCGAACTATGTTACACATTGTTGGATTCAATCTTGTTGGATTGCGGCAGGCAGAGCTCCGATCCGTGACTGTAGATTTGGTGGAGTATATGGTGCAGACTGTGGTTGTTGTACTGGGGTATAGATGTGTGACCATCGGGATCGTGCGTCTCCTGGTCGACTGAGGTACTGCACGAACTTGAGGAAGCGACCCTTGGAGGAGGCACTGGCGGTACCTGACTATCTTGTACATAACCTGCTGCTTGCGGTACACTTGCAAGCAATTCCATGATTGTTGAAACAATGAGTCTCTTGAATGATACGCGCTTGGTACTCGAATCCAGCGAAGATGCTGCATTGTCGCATTTGCGGGTGATGGCCTGGTGGAGGCGTATGTGAGTTGTCTGAACGCTATTCCATATATTTGAGTGCAGATGCTGGGGGCGTACTCCCTGGGTTAGCTTCGCGAAATGCAAAGTGTGATGACATGATTTACTTACAATGGAAGTAGCCTTTGTGCGCGAAATGGCTATGCTCAGCGTCGAGAAGCTGACGATTCTCAAAAGGAGCTTCCTGTGCCAAGTCGCGTGCGTATTCATCCAGGTTTGCGTCAAGAGCCAATGCGCTTTGGGCAATGACCATTGGATCAACCTTATCCGCATCCCGATACACTTCCTTGAATTGAAGCAGGCTAAGAATGATGTTGAGAAAAGAGTCATCTACCAGGACACGCTCTGCTTTCTTCTCCACCAGCCTCTGGAAGTCAACAATATTACGCGATAGCGGTACTCCTTGGATCCAGCAGTTCATGATGATAGTCTTTATCAACGTATTTTATAGCTTAATGGTAACTTCAGTCTGTTTCTGCTGCTGCAGGATCAAGTGTGCGACAGAAACGGCGCCAGCTAGATGGATACTGGCATTGTCCATACCTGCGCGTCTTAGAAGGACCAACGCCTCAAACATCGGTGCCAGATAAATCGATGCGACTGTGCAGTCCTGAACTGCAATCTTTGCACACGGCAGTGCATTGTTGATAGCCCGGATTGCAGCACCATAGTTGTGCGTGGCGGCACTGAGCATGTCCCTATTATGAGATTTGTTGACCAGACCAACCAGACCAACAGCTGCACATATTTGCGGCAAAGCAGGATCGGAGTGAGCCGTCTTTGCGTAGAAATCAGGCAGGTAATCCAGTAGGGACATGGCAGGATCGTCCACAATAAAGTTTGTCATGAAGAAATTGACACCAAGGTCATTCAACGGCTGGTACATGATGAAGCCAGTCAACTTGAGAGGGAAATCAGCCACCGGGCGTTTTGCCAATTGCCCTCTTGGGCGGGATCTGTTTCTCGACGTATTTGGATGCGCATCTCGAGGCGGAACGTGGGTCTGATTCTGGGTAACAACTCGGACGCTTTCATCGAGAAACATAAGATCTACTGTGCTGCGGTAACCCGAACAACCACGGCCAGCTTTGATGCATTGCCCACATGCAGGTAGCCTTCTTGTCACACTGAGAATGGTCAGCGAAATGCCACAGCAAGGCTGCATGCGAGTCGCATTATGACAAGCGAGTTATACAATCGCTTACAGTGCATTGAATTGTAGTTGGCCGATAATTCTGGGTAATCAACAAGGAATTGGAGACTTACCCGACTGCGCAGTTTCCTGCATTCCGCGCGAGCCGTCGACGGCTTGCCCCGGTATACCATGGTGTCGTAATCCCTGGACTTGTGTCTCGAAGATCTTCATCTCAACGAGCGATTTTTGGACGTGTTTGAGTCATGAAAAGACGTTAGGAGACTTGGAATCATGACGAGCAGAAGTGGAGGGAAATGTCCTTAGGTAACCTCACGCGATACTACGTCTAAATATTGTGAGTGTTGTTGAATTAGATGATCGCGATTCAAAATTATCAAGCACGCATCCGCTACCAATTACATGCTCCATCGCTTTTGCCAGACGCTCAAAACCCACCAATCCTCCTCTAGGCTCAACTCCTTTCATGCGTGACGTCCATTAAGAGAACATATTCGGCCTGGCCTTCTTCAAGCTCGATTGATCCTCATACTGCAGTTTGTTAGTGAAGATTCTCTGACTTCCGGAATCATCGCGATATCTTACCTGCAGGAACCCAGTGACATCTACCAGAACCGTCCAACAATCCACCAAATCCACAATATCCTGCTGTAGCTCTTCACCCATACCTACGCCCACATTGACACTCCTCTTGAAGATGCTCACCATACTGTGTCGGTTATCCTTCAAGAACTCTCGGGCCTGGAAAACAGTCTGGTCATTTTGCCTTCCTCGTGCAATGACTGCTGCGTTGATGACACGAAGTACGGCGAGCATGAGTTCGTAGTATTTGCGTAGTGCATTCGGATCGTCGAACTCAAGACCGATGTCTGGGTCTACAGAGAAGATCTGAGAATCGCGGATAGCGGGGAAGAGACCGGCGTTGAGGACGTGAGCAGCGCCAAGGCGGGATTGGCAGACGCGGAGGAGGAGAGCGAGACTGGCATCGTAGTAGGAGAGTAGCACAGGTACTTGAGGTGCGGCGGCAGCGCGTAGTTCCTCGGGGATATGCTTGATATTGTCGACGAGGACACCGACGAAGTTTAGGGAGACGAAGCTATCGAGGATGTATTTGGATGATTGACGAGTTGCTGCCGCTACGAAGGCGTTAAGCAAGAGTAAGGCAGATACCTTGCATGTTCCTTGCCCGCTGTAGGCGTCGTCGCATATCACCTCAAGCATGTTGGTGCCGCAATTCTTGATGGCTCCAAGTGTATGGCGACCAAGCAGGGAGTTGGGTGTCGCTTTGTTGAAGGTACCGTGGATGTAGCGGAAGCAGATCTGGTAGCAGTACTCTCGCAGTTCGGCTGTCGACACCGGGCTATAGATGCCAACTAGCGCGGCACGGAATAATTGAGAGAGTCGATCGTTCGCAAAGTCGCCTGTTTTGTCGAACGCAGTCGATTCGAAGTCAACCTTCTGCACAAGAGATTCCGCTAGGCTAGCGAGTTGGAGGGCGGTAAAGATATCCGACGTGTAGGATTGCTCAAGCTTTGGTAGAATGACCTGTAGCGTTTGCATGATGAAGGAACTGCGCGCGCCGTTTTCAAAGTCGCAGCTGTGTACCGCAACCATGACAACTTGCACCCACGACTGGAGAATATCTTTGTGGTAATGGAGAAGTTGAGTGCGTCGGTTCCAATCCAAAAAGATAGCCATAAGCAGTTCGGCCTCTTGAAGCAGCAGTTCCTCTTTCTCTTCGTCCTGAATCATGTTTGCCTTTCTCCAATACTTCATCTTGAGGCGAATGACTTGCTCCAGTAGTGGCAGAGAGTAAAGATTGCTACCTTCCTTCTCTTCTTGACATGAAGTCAAATTTACGCCCTCAAAGAATGCGTGCTGGTCGGGCAGAGCACGCTCGGGATATGTTAGCTCAATAAAGTCGAACAAATCGAAGATGTTTGGATTCAATGTTGCGTCTTCACCGGGTCGTATGGTGGTGCCAAGAAGGACAGATTGGATCCTGGACTTCATCGTGGGCATGCTCTCTTTCACTGTCAAGCGGAGTTCTCTCGACTCGTAGTCCAGGAAAGCAGCGCGTCTTTGGAGGAAGCTCTGAAGAGCGAGTGCTGGTGGTCCTGAGAAGAAGGGAGAGTAGTCACTGGGTGCAACTTCGAGCCCTTGTGCAAGAGACATACCTTCCCAGGGTATATCAAGTGTGATAGGAGTCAGCTGGGGTGCTTCAATGAATAGCAACTCGTTATCGCGGAGCTCTTCCATGATGATAGCGCTTGTCAATGGGGACCGCCAGAGCTTTTGCAGAACATCCCAACATCGCGTCTTGAGCGCAGACCGCCAAGCTATGAACTGTTCACCGTCGTTGTCAGGATATTGGACACCGAGAAGCAGTATGCTGTGAAACAAGGCTTGGCCATTCGACCAGAGGCTGTCTTCGGCGATACGGACAGTATTGGTGCCACAGGAAAAGCCGAGAAGGATATGCGCTATCGTTGGCCGGAGGGACACAGCAGCAAGGCAGCTGTTCAAAAAGTCCAGCACGCGAAGCTTGACTATGTATCCGGAAGCTTCCTCGCCAGCTTCAAGCTCTTCGGCGCTGAAGCGCATTAATCCCGAGAGAGACCGACCTATGCGCTCCGCTTCATTGTCCTTCTCCAGTATGCCGACAATCTTGCTTCGTCCCGATCGTTGACCGAAGCCCGCAGGAGATACAGCCAGTTTCCGTGAAGAAGCCATCTTCTCTAGTAATTGGAGCGAAGCGATAGTCAAAGCTTCATGGCCAGTGCCACAGTAGAGTCCAAGATCGACGATAATTTGCAAGTTGTTCAGGATCGCGTCTTCGAAGGACGCAAGCGACAGGTTCGATACAGGAGAATGGTGGAATGACGTTTGTTGCTTGAGAACTGGCTTGACGATATCCAAGTAAGTCGCTTGAAGCTTCATCACTAGATCCATAACCTCAATGCTCAGCATTAAAGACTGAATGAGTGGTGAGTCGGATGGGGCAGCATCGACCTCGGTCACGTCATGATGCGAAGCAGCAAAAAGAGCCTTGAGGACCTTGTCGTTGAAGAGCCATTCCATGACGCGAGCGAACGGGTGAAGCGCAACGTATACAGCAAGCGATGTGGGATCAATGACCTCATCAACAGGTATACTAGACTTGTTTGCGAACACAACGAGATTCTCATTGAAGGTGGACAGACATGTGACCATGAACCGCAGGCATGTCCACCGCATAACGTTGCGTTGAAGAGGTTCGTTCACTTCCAAGGAGCGTTCTGCGAACACCTGCTGCATGACGAAGTCAATGTAACCCTCGATACCCGGCATCCTACGCGATGATCCTAGGCTCTCGGGGAACGGCAGACTGTCATTTAGACCTTCGTTTTCCGGGTACGGCTCCACGAGTGAGTGGAGGAATCGGACCAGAGCGATAGATTCATCATATCCGTCAGCGAGCGTAGGCCACAAATCGTCTCTCGGTGTGGCGCTTAGAGCATTGTTTTGTCTAGATCCAGTATAGAAGCCATTGACCGTCCACTCATCCAGGAGACTCCACATCGCATCTGCACGCGTGGCGTCCTTGCCTACAAGCAGAGCTGACAGGGCATCGTACGCGGCCGCGCGAAGCCCGCTCTCGACTTTGTCAGTGCACAGGCCGAAGCAGATACCAGCAAAGTGATACTCTTTGAGATCCAATATCCACATACGAGCAGAAGCACTTTGTCTACAGATGTGGGCAATGAGTCTCAAATAGCTTTCCAGCATAGTTGCGCTTTCCGGCTCAACGATCTGATCGATTGGATTCGTTGGGGCGTAGACACTGCTTTGAATCGTCTTCTTCGGCTCGTGGATATCGTTCTCGAACTCGCGCAGCTCGTTGAAGATGGTTGTGTAGCTGAGCGAACTGGTTCGGCGAATCTTGCCAGAAGCAGACGCTCCCTCTTCGAGCAAGAATCGATGTGCCGCTTCCGCATTCGCCTCTCCAGAACCGATCGCCCGTAACATCTCGCAAAACATGGCTATCCGAGGCGTCGGCTGGCGCTTGGCTGCCCATTGCAGGAATCCGTACAGGTTACTTTCTTTGTCGCTCCAAAAGTCTTCTGCTGCATCTGGGAATCCGTCGAAAGCGTATGCGACAATGACCATGAACCTTTCCAAATGAAGCGGATACTCTCCAGTCGAGCGCTGGAAGTGTAGTTGTAATCGTCGTCTTTGATCGTCCTCTTCCGCCTTCAGTTTACGTAAAGTATCAGGCATATGAGTGATGAACGAGTCGACAAAAGTTTGGAGTTGTTCCATGAGAAGCTCCTTGAAGAATTCCTCGGGTTGCGCTGAGTCTCTGCTCAGGACGGTGGTGTCTTGCAACAGCGTGGACAGCATGCTGGTCTTCTGAGGGTCGTACCAGCGAGTGGGGCGCACATCCTGACTGACTGAAAGCATGAAGTGGAAGGCACCGTCGTTGAGTGCTTTCAGGAAGATTTCAGATCGAGCGTTGGCCTCGTCCTCGAAATTAATGCCCTGCAGAGCAGCGTCCTGGGTGTTGGGGTCCATGTACCGCCCACTGTACTCGGCCAGCCACCAAGTTAAAGTCGCCGAATGCAGATTCCTCAGCGCCCAGTTGTCGCTTTCCCGACCAGCCATAAGCGAGTCGTGGAGGGCGCGCGCTTCTCTTAGCATGACGTTGTTGGATTCAGATGCGACCCAGGACGTGAGTCGCAGAATAATTGGGACATAGTGTATGGTGATGAGGTCGTGTCGGTCGAGGGACTTGGCTCGGGTGAGCAAGGCCTTGTAGTTGTCGAGGTTGACGTATCCGGGTTTGATCATGTGCGTGCATATTGCGGCAAGGTTTTCGTGCTGTCGTGTAAGGCTTTGGCGCTGGTAGTCCATAATCTCGACAAAGCCCGGAAGAGGCACTTGGCCAACAACCTGGGTACTCTGGACGCGCTCTGCAATGGACTGTAGCCACTCCTCTACCGCTTCCATGCTTGTCAGGCACTTTGTCCAGAAGCCGTACGCATTCATCAGATTCGTCGTGCCATGTACACCGACTATCATCTGGGCAGCCTCCTGCAGGACGGGAAGACCCTCGACTTCGGAATCGCCATTGTCCAGTGCCGTCTTGATCAATATGCGCACGCAGAGGAGGACGTATTCGCGGCGTCGGTGGAAGCGGATCACGGCGGTCTGCAGCTGCGATCGGTCTAGCTCTTGGGCTTCGCTTTCGGCGCCCAGGAAGAGGGCAGCGGCGTCGAGTTCGTCGAGGTTGAGGGCGTCGGCCAGTTCGAGCGTCTGCTGCTTGAAATCGTCGTTGACCTCATATTCGTTGTCGTCAATCTTAATCTTGCCTGGCGCGGTTAGCACCTGCCTGTCTATGCACCTGCTTGTCTATTACCAGAGCTCAGAGCCTGTCTGCTCGCATCGTTCTTTGGCTTCTTGTCCAGCAGCGTCTTGAGCTCATCCAAATGCGCTTCTAGGTTCAGCAGCAGCCGCTCTAGCACGGGCAGCTGCAGGTCGATGTGGGCGCACAAGTCGCGGTGTAGGCCCTGGAGGGCGGCGAGGCTGTCTTCTTCAGCCATGGGAGAGTCGTGAGGTCGTCGTGCGCATTATGCGCCGGGGAAGGAGCGTAGGGGTGGCTATCTCACGTCGTGTTTGGTTGGTGTTTTCTCAACAATGGAGAGCTTGACTTTCGCAGAAACGCGCAGGAGCACGGACGTGAACCCTGCGACGCGCCTTCCCGTCACATCTCACCTCCGCTACACCTCCGCACTCGCAAGACCCAGGGTAGAGTGGAAGTGCTGCCCTTACATGACGGTCGCATGGTCGCTGCCAACATGCTACGCGTATAAGTAATTACATCGCCTGCGCTTTTCCATCGGGACATGCTCCATCCCTCTCGCGTCTGCTCTTGCTGCGCTGCACCTAGCAAAACCTCGCCCAAGACGTGCTCGTGGACTATTCCACTGATAGGCTAACAGCGCAGCCGACGTTGTATGCTTCTGTCTGCAGTAGACTTTTCAAATCACCACGAATAACCCCCTTTGTAGACGGCAGCGCAATCCTGTGAGCGGCCGCCATGGGCGCCACCAATATTCAGGATGCCAAACGTAAGCATAGAGACGAGGCAAAAGAGAAATTCACGCTGACTGGATTGAACAGTTCTCATCCAGTCATCACGCGTAATTGACCGAACGAGCGGGCTCAAGGATCTCAAACAGATCCTCAAGCACAACCACGGGAAGCCCAGTCTCGAGGCTCTTGGGAATAAAGCTTACCTGGCACTGTGCGAGACACTCGTCCAATGTCTACACGATGGTCGAGCCGCCTTCCTTGTCAGTAAGACCAAGTCGAGCAAGGCTGGTTCGACCGCAGCACTCTTGCCTCTCTCGGCCTCCGCGCTGCGTCACGTCATCGCTTCGGGCGTGCGAACAATCAAAGCCTCTACAGTTGAGATGATAATAGAGACAATAGTCGAGGTGCTTCCCGGAAAAGTCGGCCTGCTTGAACCACTTCTTGAGGACCTCCCAAAGACGTTGCGAGCGCTCCTAGAATACCAGCCGCACGTCGAGCGTCTATCAAAAGATTGCTGGGACGCGGCAGTTGATTTCTGCATCGAGTCCTTGGCCGGCTTTTTCCAAGAGCCCCAAGCCGAAGGTGAGCCACAAAATAGCTGGAGCACTAACGTCTCAAGTCGCGCTCGCACTCCCCTTGATGCCGACTTCACATCTTCTAGGGCGTCTCCGCGCTTGCCAGTGACCAAAACCAGATCAAGTCCCCCAGAGCATGTTCGCGCAACAGAAGACTTCGTTCATTGCTTACACCATCTCGTCAGAGCTTCCAATGCGCCGTTGCTTCCTAGAGCTGATGCCATCCTGCAAGTTTTATTGCAGTTCTTGCAGCAGAGGACTGGCCGTGGAAGTGTGGGCGTCGCTGCTCTGGCTGCTGTCAATGCAATCCTTACACGCACTTCACTGCAATCTCTCGAGTTGACAAAGCGCACAGTTCGAGAATTGATTCCGCTGCTCAAGGTCATGTGGCCTGAGGCTACACTGAGGGATGAGATCATGATCAGTCTGGTATATTCTGAAACACATGTCGCAAGCCTCCTCACTGACCCGGATGATGAGACCATCAGCTCTAACTTGGAAGGTCTTGTCGAGACAATGTACAACGACTATCGACGCAGACAAGAAACTACCGCGCACCAATATCTCGAGGAAGACCACCTTTGCTTTCGAAATCTAGGCCCTGCTCGGAACGATACTCATCCTCTGAACACCTGTGCATTCTCTATGGAGACGGAGCATCAACGATATGAGGGCCTATGGTCTACAGTAGCCACTATTGCACGCTTCTCTTTTATGCTTGATCAGCGGAGAAGGTACACTCTCCAAGACCGCAGCGACGGCGAGGAAACCTTTAGCAAACGCATGCGCATCACTCAACTATTCCCCGAATACCTTCGTCATGTGTCTGAGCCCAGATCAAACGCCAAACGTGCAGCTTTGCAAGTTGTCGCATTCATGGTACAGGAAGGCCCCTTTGACGAGGAAGAGCTCCAGCCCATGTTGGAGAAGCTCACTTCATGCATCTCTGATGAGCATCCAGCTCATTCCGTGTGGGCAATGATAGGCTTAACTGGGTAAGCACACCATATCATGACACGGACATAGCTGACGAGTGTACAGTGCCGCCCTCCAGCAATCGGCGTCACATCCAACCTTACTCCCTTACTGGATATCTGCATGGCAAAGCGCGTCTCGCGCGATCACTTCCATGTCAATATCCCGTGCTGCATGTCATTTCATGGACGCCCTCTTGAGACTGAGCATTGTACCCTTTTCAGCAGTTTCCGAGACTGTCCAGTCTTTGCTACTATCCATCGAATTAAGCGGACCAGCGCTGCTCACAGAGAGTAGTTCGTCGCTGTTGACTACCATCCTACAAGAACGTATCAAAGAAAATCCGACACACTTCAGTTCGACAGCCGAGCGAATCCTCAACTGGCTGCTCACCAAATGGACCCCAAGTGAGCACCACCAACCTCTTTCTTAGGCTATAACTCACAGTCCGTAGGTCTCTGGTCTGAACGGACATACTCCGCGCTAAACGCGCAACACTGCAACGCTCGCGATGTACTGCGTGTACTCTACACTTGCCTCGATTTGCCCTTCAACCCTCCAGAACCAGCGACCTATCTCGTACTGGGACCCATTGCACAAGCCAGAACGCAGATGGGACGGTACAAAGAGTTAGCTCATTACCTCTTACTTCTTCGCCCAACAAAGCATTTTGTAGCCAAGGTTGACGGGCCGCGCAACTCTGCTGAAGAGCCCACGAGCGACTATTCTTCTTCGCCACTAGGAAACAGAATCCTTGATTTTTGCATATCTGAGCTTGACAGAGCCAAACACCAATGGAACGATATGACCGCAACAAACACACAGGGTGTTACGTCAGATATGATGCGCATCATCACAAACTTGTGTATCGTTGCGCCAGCTGTCACGACTCTTAGCGACCCTGACGACCGTCGCGTTCAAGCTCTTCGATCAGCCGCCACTAGCTTGATTGAGTCCTTTGTCACTGTACTAGCTAAGCCTCAAACGGAGCAATACAAGGTCGATGCTGTTCTCGAAACTTGTGCAAAAAGTCTTCCTGACATCGGCTCACTGAAACAGGTGCGCCTGAGCGCGTACGAGATGACAGGAATTGATCAGCTAGCTCGATATCTACCTAAAGCTCTTCAACAACGTAAAGAAGTCAAACAGTCGTTCTACGCGGAAGAGGACGACTTCATGGAAGTGGACGATGAGCCTGACTCGCAGATGACTGCGGGTGCTACTGTTCTCGTCAATGATGTGCCTCGTCACGACGTACAAGCTGAAAGTGATATAACTGCTCTACGTGCATCATGCTCAGCACATTTGCAGTTTATCTCATTTCTTGCCAAAAATACTCAACTAGAACCTGGGACGGTACCTCCCGACTTTGTAGACTACCTAGTCTCCCTTTCCGAAAGCGATCTTCTCCATTCACGCCAGTTTCTTCGTTCGATATGGAACAGCCACTTGAAGATATCCCAGAACGACTGCCTCAATCTCCTCGAACGCTTCAGTGAAGCTCTCATTGATCCCCGCGCGCGCGAATACAATACTTCGGAAGTTGCAAATGGCATGCTTGTCGAGGTTCTCATTGGCACTACACTCGTCTGGGTCCCAGACGCCACCGATCGCGAGGCACAAGATCTCTACGACAACGTTGAGGCGCTGTACGTGTACTACGTCAGGGAGATGGAGAAGGGAGGGGTGAGATGTTCTGCCAACTTGCAAACAACGATCGCGGTCTTCCTTCATGGCCTACTAAAGCACCATCCGGACTTTGCGCAAAACCGGAAGATTCCATCTGTACGCACCAATCTCTTCGAACTTCTGTCAAAAGGTGACATGACCGTGAAATATCATATTGCTCAACACCTGCCAAGGATGTTCGAAGATTTTGTCCTTTCCGAGCATGATAAGATCCTGCAAGACGTTGATAGTAGTTTACCAGGCGATGATGAGGGTCTTGAAGGCATTGCAGTTCGTTTGCTGGTCCTGTCGCGTCTGGCAGCTCAGTGGCACACTCTGCTGCGCCATAGCGTGTATCGCATCTTTGCCACCGCGGGGACCATCGCCGGAGCTGTTAACCACGCCAAACGCTGCATCTCCGATGTTGCTCAATCTCGAGGTCTCGGCGATTCGCAAAGTCTCTTTAGGCTCTTCGCTCCGCAAGTCATATACACCTGGTTAGATCGGGGCCAAAAAGTCGGTCGCATTCCTTTCCAGATTTTTGGTTATGCTTCGCTCCCGGACCTTCTCTGTGACATTGAAGCCGAGGTGGTGGGTCAAGCCATTATGTTTGGTCGCAAGGACGAGGTAGACTTCCTGGCTGATCATCTAGAGATATCAGCACAGGAACTGTTGTCGAGAAACATTGGCAAGGCAGCTGCGTACACCATCGCATGGGACACTTGCAGAGGTTCCGCTCGGAACAGAGCTGACTCCAGCTTCGGCAACCTTCTGAAAGACATGGTTGGTAGCGACAAATACTACGGCCTGATCCAGAAGCATTTCCCTCAAATTCTGGGTCATATGTTCCAGACTATCGATCATGAAGAACGTCTTCCAAAGTCGCTAGACAAGAAACCAGCATTCAATCCCGCAGCAGCAGTACTGGCCGAGATTGCTGAAATTAGTCAGTCCGCGCAAGGTCTTAATATAGGCATCGAGCCATCCTTCTCCGCCTTTTACCTGCCAGATCAGCTCGAGCGTTTATGTAGACGGACAGGTGATAGACCAGCTGGCTTCTGGTCTCCAAGCACCTACACATATGTGATGCGCTCTCTGCTTGATCGGATTCATCCGGCTCTCGGCTCGCTCTATGCCCGATCGATGATCCGCAAGGTCCGAATCATTGTTGCGCTGGCCGGATCTGTAGCTCTTGAAGGCTATCCGTTACAAATGACGCTCCAGTCCCTGCGCCCTTTCCTCACCGATATGCAATGCGCGGAGGATACGGTGGGCATCATGCAGTATCTTTTTGAACACGGCGCCCAGTACCTTCGCCAACAGCTTAGCTTCGTCACAGGTATCGGCCTGTCAATTCTTATTTCTCTCCGAGTGTTTCTGGGCTCCTCTCAAGAAAGTACCACACAACAGTCCCAACATGTGGCGACCATGAACGCAGCCAATAGGTTTCATACGTGGCTTACCGAGTACCTCAAGGCTCATGCTCAGGCAATCACGGGTACAGAACGGTCCTCTGCCATCAAAGCCTTCAAATCCATCACCATTGCGGCTTCTCAGGTTACCGCCGAAGGTAATTCGATTCGAGGTAGCGAAGAAAGCAAGCTCCTGTTAGAGATACTAGACGACGTGCGATTAGGACGCAAACTGTTGAACAAGACGTCGCGAGATGTTGCTTTGGACTTGCTTTGTCAGAACTTTCGCCCCGCTTCAAATGCCCGAGACGATGTGCTTGGGTTGGACCACGACGCGGCAGAATATGCACCCTTAGTCTGGGAATCTTGTCGCAGAAGTAAAGTGGGTGACGGCTATTTGCTGTGGACGGCACGAGTCTTGGGTAGAGCGTATAGCGCTTACGGTGAGGTCAAGCAAAGTTCGGCCCAGGCCCGACCCTGGTCATCGTCAGTCCAGACTTCAAAGTCTGTTCCCGGAAAATCATCAAGGGAAGCTATTGTGAACGAGGTCATCGACTTGTTCTATAGCGACGATCGCAGTGAGGTCAGCCTAGCAGAGGACGCTGTGAGACGTCTGATCTCTCGCTTAGATCCTGAGTCGCCGTACATGAAGGAGATGCAGCGAGTCATCCCAGAGGCCATAGGTAAAGCGCTTGTATACAAGCCACCAGAGCCGGACAACACTTCGCAACCCGTGGCAGATGGCTTGCGCGAAGCTGTATCAACTACGCCGTTGAAGCCAGTATCTGACTGGATTAGAGACCTGACGATGGCCCTTTGCAGAGTCGCATTTGATGACCCCATTCTCGGTGCGCTTCCAGATTTGCTTCGTGGTATCAATCACATGGCGGAGAAGTTGTTACCCTATATCCTCCATCTCGTGTTACTAGATGAATACGAAGAACAACGCGACGTTCACGACATCGTCTCCAAGTCGATGGCAACTTGGTTCCGTGAGTGCGGCCCAGCTACTATCTCACACGTTCGTATCCTTATACAGTCTATTCTCTATCTGCGGAGTCAACCAGTTCCAAAAGAGGTCACCAGAGTGGAACGAGACAAGTGGTTAGATGTAGACTATCTCGAGGCTTCACAGGCCGCGAAGAACAGTGGCATGTTCAGGACTGCACTTTTGTTTGCAGAGACCTGTTCCGGTCAGCCGATAATCAGGAGCACTACAAGGAGATCATCTGTTAAAGTCGATCCTCCAAAGGTACCTCTTCCACTACAGCTTTCGATTTACAAGAACCTGGACGAACCTGACTCGTTTTATGGAGTGGATCGTGGTTCTAGTCTTCTGTCAGTGCTTGATCGCCTTGACTACGAGGGAGATGGTGTCAAAAGCCTTCTTTTCCGTGGTGCTCGCCTCGACAGTCAGATGCGCCGACGCAACGAATTCGAAGCGGAAGACTCTCGTGGCACTGTCAAGTCTCTCATCATGCTAAACATGAACAGTGTCACGCACTCTTTGCTTTCCAACGACCAATTTCGTGACGCTGGAGACGATGTAGTAGAGAGTACACTTCATACCGCACGGAAACTGGGCCAGTGGGATATTAAGGCACCCGAACTAAACCATACTGAGGCAAGTACCTTGTTCAAAGCATTCCAAGGCCTAAATTTTGCGAAGAGTGCGGCAGAAGCTCAAGAGAATTTCGACCGCCAGTTACAAGCCACCATGAACTTCCTCTGTGGGAAGGACAGCTCGGCGATATCTACGAAGATTCGGCTGCGAACGCTTGGAGCACTCACAGAGGCAGACGAGGTGATCAAGGCTGAGCGATCAGAGCACTTGATGGACATCTGGGATCGAATGAAAGCACGAGAGAAGTGGATGCGTGCTGGCGAGTGAGTACCCTGCACACCTTGTAAAATCTGTCAACTCACTATGGCTAGGTTCAACGACGTGCGCCAGCTCTTATCATGTCGTGAAACGCTGTTCAACGTAATCGGAACGAACGTTGCTCTTGTCGACTCATTACATACCCGAACTGCGACTATACGGGGTATGGAGGTAGAAGCCCTGGTTTCCTCGTCCAGTCTTTGCAGGAAGCACGGTGCGCTCCAAGAGTCGCTCGCGAGCGTTACCTATCTGTCAGATATCGTACCAGAGTGCAAAGCTGTCGGTCTGGACATTGAGGCCACAGCCCAGCATGAGGTCGCAAACGTACTCTGGGAACAAGGCGAGACCGAGATCTCGATAAGAATGCGTCAGCACTTGATCGACCATGCCGACTTCGATTCACAGAACATCGACCTGAGCTTGCCAGTATTGCTGGCTCGACTGGTAAGGAGCGGAAGTTCTTAGTGTCTCTTTTTACTAATGAATCTAGGGTCACCACCTTGCTGAAGCGCGCCTCGCCAAACCGGACGCGATCATGGAAGAGTATTTGCAACCAGCAATTCGCGAACTCAAAGGCCAAAAGGAGGGCTTAGGCCCAGGCCAGGTTTTCCACGAGTTTGCTCTGTTTTGCGACAAGCAACTACAGAGCCCTGAAGCCGCCGAAGACATGAACCGCATCAAGACAGTGATGGACAGAAAGCTGCAAGAGTACCACGACTTTGCCAAGCTATCCAAAACCGACAAGAGTAAAGGGATGCGTGAGACGTACCATCGAAACGCTCGTCGCGCCAAGACCTGGTACGATCTTGACAATGCGGAATACGAAAGGATGCGCAAAGGCCGCGAGCAGTTCTTACGCCAATGTCTTGAGAACTACTTGCTTTCCCTTCTCGCTAGTGACGAGTACAACCACGATGCGCTCAGGGTGTTCTCCTTGTGGCTGGAGTACTCCGACACTCCACTAGCGAACCAAGCTGTCAAGGCATATCTTAAAGATGTGCCTAGCGGGAAGTTTGCGTTGTTGATGAACCAGCTGTCGTCACGTTTACAAGCTGAAGAGAACGACTTCCAGCACTTGTTGATGGAGCTAGTCTTCCGTATATGCGTCGATCACCCATTTCATGGTATGCACCAGATTTTCGCCATTCAGGTAAGTTTTGCGATGTTCAAATGTCTATACAAGCAGCTCCAAGGCAGGGTCTACCACCTTCCTGCTCTTGTGGTAGGTAGATCTGCCAACGTACTTTGCGCTAACAACAAGGTAGATGAAGGTAGCCGCTACCTCTAGAGAAGATGTCGTCCGAGCCAAAGATGAATCCGCGAAATCTCGTCAAAAGGCCGCAGGTGGGCTTGCAACAGCACTCAGCACTGACAAGAGAGGCCGCTCGTATTGGAGCTCAATCTTCCAGTCTAACGAAGTATACCACCATCTTGCGATGTTCAAAGGCGAGAAAGAAAGCACTCAACAAGGCCGGGAGCTGCCGCTCGATCGGTACAAAGAATCACGGGAGCTGGTGAGCAAGATACCAAAGCTCAATGTTCCACCTGCTACGCTTCAGATTGAAGTTCGACCCAACATGAATTACAGTGATCTACCAAGGATCGCAGGCTTCAAGTCGACTATGACGATCGCGAATGGACTTAGTGCGCCAAAAGTCATTACTGCTAAGGGCACTGATGGCAGACCGTACAAGCAACTGGTAAGCAACGAAATTGGTTCATGAACAAAACGTGTATGCTGATCATTTTAGTTCAAATCTGGAAACGACGACCTCCGTCAAGACGCAATCATGGAGCAAGTTTTCGACCAAGTATCACGCTTACTAAAGAATCATACCGCAACGCGCATACGCAACCTCGGCATTCGTACATACAAAGTCTTGCCGCTCTCGACGCGTTCTGGTCTCATGGAATTTGTCCAGAACACTGTCCCACTGCATCTCTGGGTCATGCCAGCTCACGAGAAGTACTATCCAAGTGACTACAAGCCAGAGAAGTGTCGCAAGGAAATTGGCGCATGCCAACAAGATTCACTTACAACGCGTGTGAAAGTGTGGCAGAAGATAGCAGATAACTTTCACCCTGTTATGCGCTACTTCCTGCTCGAACGCTTCGAGGATCCAGACGAATGGTTCGAGCGCCGTCTAGCCTACACGCGATCCACAGCCGCCATATCCATCCTTGGTCACGTCCTCGGCCTAGGCGACCGGCATTGTCATAATATCCTCCTTGACGAAAAGACGGGTGAAGTAGTGCACATTGATCTTGGTGTGAGCTTCGAAGCCGGTCGTGTGTTACCAGTACCGGAAGTCGTGCCGTTCCGACTCACCCGGGACCTGGTGGACGGTATGGGCTATACGAAGACTGAGGGTGTGTTCCGTCGCTGCTGCGAGTTCACCATGGACACATTACGCGAGGAACGGGAATCCATCATGACGCTACTCAACGTCCTGCGATACGATCCCCTCGTCAACTGGAGCGTTACGCCTACGAAGGCGAAGCGCATGCAAGAAGCCAATCAAGAAACTGCCGGTGCGAATGGCACGGCTCGCTCAACGACTGTCGCGCCGGGAGGTACGCCTGCGCCGTCGGGCCAGGAGGAAACGGCAGCGGGTACGGTGCATGAGAGCAACAAGAAGAGGGAGAAGGAAGAGCAGGCTGGTGAGGCTGGCAGAGCGTTGAGTGTGGTGGAGAAGAAGTTGAGCAAGACGCTGAGTACCAAGGCGACGGTGAATGAGCTCATTCAGCAGGCTACCGATGAGAAGAATCTGGCTGTGCTGTATATGGGGTGGGCTAGTTATGCATAGCTGGGGCAATGGGCCTGGAGGTATTTTCGGTGGTTTGTTAGTTAATAATGATGATCAAAAGTTCGTGTACACCCTTGGAGTACTTTTCTGTGGCGGTGTGAATTGCGCGTCACAATTATTCTGTTGCCGCAGGACCTGACACATATCTGTTATATCTAAATTGTGGAAGCCATGTTCTATCCGTAGTAGACTTGATGGGCTTGCACGTGACGGCCACTCCAACCACTTCGACATCACAATGGATACTGCACTACACATGCATCGTTGATACAAAGCGAGCTCAGACTCTCCATCGTGATGCGATACTTATATGCGACAGGTATTAGTGCTTAGCTGAATAATTTCCTGTCCAGAACATCATGAACACAGTGACATTTATCCAATCCAAAGTAATCGCGATCGAATCAGCAAGTCGAGCGCGAGCGTAAAAATAGGCATAGCGACATCCTTGACATCGAGAAGCACCAGTCCTAACAGCTTCATTTCCTTGATAGGCAACTTACAAAAAGGCTGTTGATCACAGCTGAAAGCAAAGAATCGCGAACACAGGGATGCAGTGGTCGCTGCCCACCCACGTACGTAATGACTACCTATTCGGGCAGTTTCTAAGAAAAAGTGTTGATTGCAGCACGTGAAGAGATGAACAACTGCAGATAAATTGCAATGATGCTGACTGGCTGGCTTGAAGCAGCTCCATAACTAGGCTCCAATAAGCTAGCGATCTGCGGCTGGTGCACGGCTAGGACAATTGGGGTAAAACGTCGCTTTGGACCATCGTGGAACGGATCAGACTGCCCCGCCGCACAAGACGGCTTCCTGTTCAAGTAACTCTGAGACCTGCGATGCTGAGCACAATCACATACCATAAGCAGCCTTATCAGGTGGTGGCATGCAGTCTACCCACGATGATAGATGCCAAGTCATTTTATGAGGCGAAGTATGCGGACGTGTGAAGATAATTGGTCGAGTTGTACGACTCCGCCACCTGGGTTCGCCGGTTTTGTTATCAAACACTCAAAGGTAGCCTTGTGACACTCACCAGCCTCTCACAACTGTTCTGCTGATTCTTTCCAATAACTTGATCAAGAAAATGAGTAACCTAACCAGACGCTTTCTCATACCAACCGCTATCCAGTCCTTCGCTTTCCGAGTCTTCGCCTTCGCCTTCAGAGTCGTCGCTCTCCGAGTCTTTTTCGGATGGACTCGGGAATCTATCGACTGAAAATTCTATAGATTCATGGACCCAAGAAATTGAAACTCGACTCATATATCTACATCCAGGTGGCTTCGATGATGATATATATTGTACAATTTACCATGCCAATATCCTGGAAAAGCTGCGTCAAACAGAGTATACTGCATTGTCATACGTATGGGGCGATGCTAAACACACAAAACCCATTCAACTTGGTTACCATCAAATTCCAACGAGTGGAACTGCTGATACATGGCCGTCTGCTTCAGCTCCAGGGGCATGTTGCTACAAACTATTCCAAGTTACGACAAATCTGGAGAAAGCATTACGACACCTACGAGACCACGCTTCAGGGCGCATACTTTGGGTCGATGCTATTTGTATCAACCAGTCTGATGAGGAAGAAAAACTTTCACAAGTACAATCGATGGGCAGTGTGTACAGAGAGGCCGTGGAGGTACGCATCTGGCTAGGATCACTCAATGATGTACAAGAGGTGATCGAAGAATGTCAATCAAGATTAGCTCTGATACCGGAAGGATTCTACTCTCGCCTATCCACGGAAGAAGATATCGGAGCAGTCTTGGGTTGTGAAAGAAATAATATCGAGACAGCATTGCTCGCAGCCAAAAATTACGTTACGAATGCATACTGCCTGCTCCGCGAAAATTGGAAGGATGGTTGGGTTCCTGATGAACAACGGGCTCTTGGAATACGAATAATAGCAATGCAACCCTGGTGGCAACGCGTGTGGGTTATCCAGGAAGCCACACTCTCAAGAGAGGACCCAGTCATGCAATGTGGCAATATGCAACTCAGGTACCGCGAATTCCTGAGAGTGGCTAAACGTTGCATGTTTCGAGATGCACCATCGTCACTTTCTCAACCCCAAATATCCCTCATCGTCCATTGGATGTTCCATGAGGATTACGAGCCGTCCAAAACATCATCTGCGAGCCGTCTGCTTACGTACCTGAATTGCATGAGTGGAAATTTCAAAGTGAGCAATCCCAAAGACAGAATAAATGGAATATGGGGATTTATCCGCATGTACGGTTTCCATGTTAATACCTTGTTCCTTATGATGAGAGTCCAATGCGAACAGGAGCATCACGAATTCTTTCACCAAATTGCTGTATGGATCCTTTTCGATCCTCAACCTCAATCGTATCCTCTAAGAATCTTGGAAAGCGGGCCTAGTAATGTCAAAGGGGTACCGTCCTGGGTCCCGATGTGGACATCAAAACGATGGAGTGGAGAAAACAAAACCTACGGAGCACCACAAAGTAAGCATGATATGCTTGCTCAAGGTGTCTCAATGAAGAATTCCTATAACATCTACGGAAGATGTACGGAAATCAAGATACATGATGCGCTGGCGCTTGGACGAGTGATTACGACGTTGAAACCTCTTCCAGTGCCAGAAAGAGAGGACACAGATGTGCTGCACGAAGCGATTCTTGATGTGGAGGAGCAAATTCGGAAAGCTCTGAGGCTTATGAAAATACCATATGCTCATACGAAAACGCCTGTTCAAGAGTTCCGAAACTATCTTCGTCTCAACTTTTGGGACGATGACACAGGGGAAGGTTCGTGTTCATCTGAACACAGCGCGACATTGGAAGAGTTCCTCGGGAACGAAAAGAAGTCGAAGAAAAGAAAAGATCAACGGCGCAGCAACAAAGTTTCAATTCTTCAAGCAAACCCTAACGTTCCGAGTCCCTCTTCGATTGCAAAACTAGGCAGCTTTTTCAAGCACAGTCGCGATCTTATTATTGGATCGAAAATCGTAGGGCATATATTCGAGGATGAAGATTTGCCGCCTTGTTGGCAGTCCGGTGACAAGCTGTATCTCATCCCTGAGTGCCGCTGGGCCCTGGGTCTTCGACGTAGTGGCAGTGGATACAGGTACATGTACAGGGTATTCATTTCTGATCTGGAATGGCAACAGTGCAAGCAGATGTTCGGCGACCAAGGCACCTACGAGGACATAGTGCTTGTATGAAGACAATGTATCGAATCCCGTTGTCGCGCTCGCTGTACCTCATACTTTACCTCTTGCTAGGCTCATACATATTGCTTCAGATAGAAGATATAGATGCGACGATGCACGAAGTGTAGGCTCAGTTGAGTGTGGAGTGGCAGAGGTGCAAATCGACTGCGCGCCTGCGCGCGCGCGACGACTGGTGGCGGGCGAACACCCTTTGCTTTTAGAGCATAACCTTCCTTCACAACCAAGCGTCCCAGACGGAACAAAAATTACCTAGAAAGGAAACTATCGCAAACGTACCATCGATTGCGGTCATGCATAACTACGGCATCTGACCATTGCCTAGAGGGGAAAGTCTTACAATCGACTGTTGATTACAGCCACTCATGATCGCGGCGTGTAATGTTATGTCGGCAGCCGATCGGCAGACAAAATTCTGGTTGTGGCTATACCCCGCCTGACCTACTTCCTTGGTGTAGCTGCTCAATGCCCCACCCCACACAAAATTTCGTCAAGAGTAGTCGGATATTCCGCTACCATGAGATAAAGTGAGCTGCGAAACACGACGTACGTATATAGATTTAATAATTTTGTTTTTCTCCATCAACAACCAGTACAACTGGCCTAATGGCCCAATGGCAAGGCGCTTGACTACGACTCAGTTCGATATCAAGAGATTCCAGGTTCCCAAGATAGGGGTACAAAGTAAACGTGATTTAGCAAAGTAGATAGTGACTGCTACATGAAACAGATTCGTATCCGCCTCACCAAGACACTTCATCTTCATCACCTTAGAGACGAATTTCGTCGATGGCATGCGACACCAAGTTCCAAAAGCTCCGGTCTTCGCAAAAGACATCTTTGTTCACTCGTCATCATGAGGTTGTCCATAGTTCGACCTCCGCTGCCTATCGCGAACGATCTTGGTGCATTCCAACCTCATTTTATCACTCGGATTCCTTAGATTGTGTAACGCAGCTAGAGCGGTCGTTTGTACTTTCTCCCACACTTGCTTTGACATACATCCATGATAGTGGCTGATCAAGATTTCTAATAGTCGGTCACTGTCGTCGTGACAGTGGTCTCTGAAGATAGACGATCTACCACCTGCAAACAATAGCATGCCTGGACCATGCACCGTACCTTTGATGGTTGTTCGTACCCAAAGTAGACCTTCCCGTGGTGACTTCGGTATTACTGCAGCTCCATCGTGGCCGATCACGCAATCGGGTATGGTATCAAATCTGATGGTTATTGTTTGTGATGTCTTCAGGATGTTGCTCTGCCAGGCTGAGCATGACTGCAATCGTCGCACTAGTGTGAACTTTTCCAAGTGTGCTGTTTCCGAAAGGCTCCGGGCGTTGAGGGACATGAACAGAGCCGCTGTTCCCCCTTGAAACGGAATGTCTATCCAGCAAAATTTGAAGGGTAGGTCTTGGCGTATGGCTGCATTGTTCAACGATACAGCCAAGAGTCCAATGGGCGCGACCGTGTTACTACCATACTTATAATGACTTTGAAGCGTATCATGGCCTCGAAATAGCCTTTCCAGAGAGTAAACATCTCTCAGGCGACTCTCAATCTCTTGCCATTGAATTATAGAGGTAGCATGAGGAAGGTCGTGCAAAATCGCGTTCGGCGGGAACCTCTTCACAATATCCTGACTATGGCGGAGGACGCTCTCTTGCTCTAAAGACAGAGTCGCAAGCCATTTGGATTCTTCGCTTTCTTCAATGGACGTAGAGTTCGACAAAGGGCCTGGGGAAGGGTCTGCCGTAGGATTGAGCGCAGTATTGAGCGAAGCGTCAGGTTGACGATCAGGCCGGAGATGATCAGGTACCATAAGATGAGAGGGGAATTTGGAGCTTGCCGTCCTGCCCCTACATACCTTGCATTTTGTATGCGGATCGCCCTTATTTGGTGCGTACTTGTAGATGTCGTCGGGTTCTATGTAGCGCTTCTTGCACTGGCAGATAGTGTAGCGCGAGCGGTCCAGAGCCGGGTCGGTCGTAGCTAAACTCGTCAGTGTTTGGCTCATCGCTGGTACATCAGACATTGTTGAGGTTGATCCTGTCAAAGCTGACGTTGACAAAACCAGGTGAGGTTGGAAAAGCTCTTATGGTAACGAGCAAGTGTTTTAGCTTACTGCAGAGATGTTTGCTAGTCATAGATAGAACGACATGGAACTATAGCGTGACACAGCTTTCGCTTCACATGTGATCATGTACCTGAAGCCTTAAGAGGCGAGTTTGATACCTATAGAACTTGACGTTCGTACGTCACATGTCTATTGCATTGTCACATATTGGTCAGCACTCGGTCTTCGTTCCATGGCCATTGCTGACGGTAGTATGCGTGACCAGATAAGCAAGCTTCTTATTTGAGTATAATAGCAAGATAAACGGGGCGCAGAAAAACAGGCTGCGGGAATAGCTTCCGATATATTCTGCTGTAACGACGGCTGTCTCTGTATCATCTGAGCTGTAGGCTACTAGTATACCTAGTGAAGGGGATTATAGAGGCTGAAAACAAGGTAGGACGAATCATGCATCCATGAATCTTTTAAGTAGGATTGAGATGTGTAATCAATCTATTTGGGTGGAAAGGTACGAAGAAAATGGCCCGAAGAAATTCAGCCTTCCATTCAATTCGACATAGTGAACAACACTTTTCAGGCTGCTCTTTGCCAGATTCTTCATGCTGCTGAAGTCTTTCGTACTATTCAGTACCACCCCGCGCTGTTTGTTTACCTCGCAAGGCGTCTCGAAAAGGCTTGATCATGAGCTCGCGAACACTCTGGGCAAGATCTCCAAGTTTGTTGCTTTTGATGGTGTCCTTCAAGCCAAGGCTATCCAATCGGGTAATAGCGCCGTCGAAATAGACACCCGAGGCGGTGAACCTGCTGTCAAAACTAGTGAAGTCAGTATCAATATGATTGGTTCAAGAAGAGACAGGGTTTAAGAACTACGTACAAGTGCCTGGAAAACTGCTTGTGGAGGACAAGTATTATACCTGGTCCGTAGATTCGGCACAACTTATTGATCTTCGCACCACGAAGGCTCCATTCGCTTATGTTCTCGATGACTGTATCTTTGCGTAGTCCTATAGTCTCAAAGTGTAGAGGCGTGAGAAATGTGTCTAGTTCTGCCAGCATTACGTCACCAACACGCCCAGTACCTTTGGGACGAAGGCATTGCATGATATCAAACCAGAATAGGTCGTTGAAGAGCTGGAGCACCCTTATCTGCTCTTCACGTCGATTGACTTGGTTGGTCCATTGGTAGCGCGACATGAAAGCGTTGCCGAGATCATCGTTAGAGGTATAGTCGCCGCAATCACTAATCAGGGCCAGGGCGCGTAAGAACTTCTGAGCATCATTGCCGTGTCTTCGTATGTGGATAAGAACGTATTTAGGCACATCAGGTAGCCGCTCAAAATTCGTTGGGTTGGTGATACGCTTCCAAGGATCCTTAGGGCCACCGAGCACTAACGGTGCTTTTGTCCCCAGCTTACGCTTCTTGTGAATCTGTTGAAGATCCTGCTCTAGAAGCTCGTCCTCATTCTCGGCAGTGGTGGAGCTGCTGTAACCACAAGCCCTGTTTAACCGAGCTAGGGTGATTAAGTGCTGCTCTTCGAAAGCATCTTGAACACTTAGCGAAGCTCCAACCTACAGCGGTCGTTAGCGCACAACAAGCGGTAGTCAAGATCGCCATAATTACCCCGCCAAGTCCATGCCGGTCTAACATATCTTTTGTTTGCTCTAGCATTGCCTTGACTTCTTGGATCAATTCCTGAGTGTCCATCTCTGTAGTCTACTTACATTCGTGTTTCACTGTGAGAGTTAATACTGATGCATGAGATATAGAATAGCTCAGCAGCGTGAGGCAGTTGTCTGCAATTTCAGCACAGACCGCTACAGTCTTGCTTATGTCTTTGAACATCCGCGGCGACAGTCTCACCATGACCATAGCGACAGTTTTGTTAATGTCTCACACAGTGGGACAATGAATCCTATCCTCTGCAAGCTGGTTGTCTACCCCTCTCATGCAGCTCACGCAGCTAAGATCATCGCACTCGTGAACGTCCAATCTGCTATCTTCGTTGATATCTATCCCTATGTCTTCGCCACGCGAGCCCAACGGACAAGAAGTTAACCAGCAAGATCAGACACAAGTTCTAGAGTTTTCAGCGTATGGGAAGTTAGTGCAAGGTACTTTATTACAAACTAAGCGGATTCCAAAGGTACTCAACTGCGATACATCATTGATCTACGACTCTAACTTTGTTTAGAAGCGTAATCGAGTCCTTCTTGAAATGCTCACAGCTATAGTAGTGTTACCAACCTTCATTGTATTATCATTATCTTTCATGGGCTGGATTGTTATTTCTCGCAATCTGGTAGGCCCTGAAAGCTTAGAGAGAATAGTCAGATGGAGACCTTTGTTCCTACGACTCTCCTGTTTATTCTGCGAGACGGTGTGGCTTTGGCGATATAAAACGAGGTTAGCTTCTCAAAAGTCTTCCGATACTACAACCTAACTTCTATTCAGGATCGGAAATGCTTTTTGCCACGCTACCGCCTTTGCAGCACTGCAAGTACTGTCCCTCCCACCTATCTCAGCACACGTCAAATTGCTAGACAATCCTGATCCACTATTACTACGCCAGTCACGAAAGGACCAACTACACGAATATGACCATAGACTCCTTACACATGAAGAAGACCGGGGAATGGAAGTAATGCCAATTCTACGCCAACGAGGCTCCGAACCGAACCACAACCCATCGTATCAGGAACCGGTCCCACACAACGAACGACTGTCGATCTCGAACATTGGGACATGGACGGAGGTTTTCAACAAGTCGAACTCTGAGCTGGAGAATGTTTTAGGAAACCATAGGGGTCATGAGAAGATACAGCTTGCTGCTACAGAAAAGGCTGCTTCTAAGATGTTCTCTATTGGAGAGGGTACCACGGAGGCTGCTGAAGAGATCTCTCGAGCCAGGAATGCTGAGAGAGGTGCCGCTGAGAAGTATGCTGCTGGCAAGAAAAAAGAGTTCGAGCAGTTCAAGGCCAGCGTCATTACCATCATGGTCCGAGCAACGCGCCCACTCATACTAGGAAGCTTTGCACAAACCGAGCATACTGAGTTGAAGATCGTGAGCGATACTCATTTCCAAGCGCGGCCCAAATCGCGCAACCCACTGCTTACTCACAACACGTGGGAGGCTTTCCAGTGCGATCAAGTTTTTGATGTCACAGCATCCAATCTGGATGTCTTCCGGAGACTCGAACCTATCGCTGACGAATTTAAAGACCCCCAAGGACACACATTTGTTTTTTATGGAGATGGTTTCAGCGGCAGTGGCAAGTCTTTCACAAGCTATACCCACGAATCTTCTGTCTTGTTAGCCTTCGGCAAACTTCTCCTAGAGTCGCCGCATCCTCGCCTGAGAGTTGTTTTCGAAGCTTTCCAAACTCCAGGAGTAGAGGTTGAGTCCCTCGACATACCCCCGCAGACAATTGCCAATCTAGGCCTGACGAAAGCTGAAACTCCACCAGTTGACATCACATCGGCCAGCAGAAATTTATTTAGACAGAAGCGGCCATGTTATGTCGTACAGGATTTTACAGGCTTCAAATGGCTTGTCAAGAGAACTGCAGAGTTTCGGAGAGAATTACCGACAGCTAACAACGCTACCTCTTCTCGCACAAATCTGGCAGTTGTGTTATATGTTACGCTTAACGAGAAGACGTCTGTATTCTGCTTGATCGATATGGTCGGTAATGAGCGAGCTGGTGCTCTAAAGGAGAGGGACAAGTCAAGTCTAGATAGTACGGAGATCGTAAATTCTAGTCGCCTGACACTCCGTCCGATACTTCAAGCGGTTGTTGGAGGCAAAGAATGGGTGGCTACTTCGACCGCGGTAAGCAAAAGCCCTGCAAAATCTGTGTTACTTTACTCACAGGAAGACAGATCGGCATGTGGATAAAACTTCTTATGAGCCGTCCTTCCGCTATGCTTGTCATGCTCTTTCATGTCAGCACGGCCTCATCTTTTGATGGAGCAGTTCGACCGACGCTAGTGGATATGTGGAACTACAAGCACATAAGGACAAAGCATCCTAACCGTACCACTGCAAAGTCTACCTAGTTCTAACAGTCGATGATATCCCATATTCTGCTGAGCTTGTCTGTGATACATTCACAGCAGAACATTAGCTCCATTTGCGGATCGGTCTACGGCGCCAGTACATAAATGATATTCGTTGAAAACCCACCCGGGGGTCGATTCAATGCGCTGAAAGTCTGCTTCTATACGGTAATAGCAGTCTTACTGATCGACGCGGCAACATACTATCACTTTTCTTACCCTCAACTCTACAACTTCGCGATACTTTCCCTTTGCAACCCTCTTTATGAGCTATAGAGCTAGCTTATCTGCTAGACTTGTTGAAGGGTTAATCCATACTTTCCTCTTACAAAGAATACAGTATAAAATTTGCTTAAGTCATACTGGACATGTGTAAGCTGCCTCTGGGCTGCCTTTGTAGTAGAGAACGGCAAGGTCTTTCTTACAAGCTAGGCTGCTCTTTGCCAACTTGACTTTTGTGTTTAGCGCCTTCTAAGTCGCTAATTCGCTCTGTGCACAGCATTGTCGCTGCTATTGACACTACTCGCATTGTCTACGACTCAAATCGCTTCTAAGTTCGACAGTGTGACATGGCCTGCTAGCTGAGCCCCTCCAGAGGATCCACCGAGGATCTCCTACAGGAAGCATTGTCGCTTCGTTCTCACTCTCCGCTAGGTTTTGTCGCATCGTGCCGTGTTGTTGATCGATACGTCATGGTGTTGAGGTTTTAAAAGCGGGGAACTTTGCCGTTCGTCATGTGACCGTCGGCGGTCGGACCCACGCTCTGTGATTATCGTAATCGTGCCCGTGACTAATCACAGAAAATTTTTTGATTGAATACCCACACATCACGCTCCCATTTTTTTCAACATCGAAGATTCGAAAGTACATAGTTTGAGCAATTACTTCATTCAACATCGATCATATACTGAGGCCTAATGGCCCAATGGCAAGGCGCTTGACTACGATTCGTTCGATATCAAGAGATTCCAGGTTGTAAGTAGATATCCAAATCGCAGCTTGTTCGAACATAGACAGTAATAATATTACAGCGACCCCTGGTTAGGTCATATCATTCTTTTTGCTTTTTGACTCCTCTCAACACCGAACAACACTCTCACGTATAACCTGTTGCTTTGATTCAGAGATCGATGTTCCATCCGACCTTGAAGCTAAATTAACAGCCTTCTGTATCTTCATTCAACGATATGCTTCTCTTCCTTTTCGTAGGTCCACTTTTGTCTGCAATCTCCTTCTCGTCTACTATTTGAGTGCGAAGCGCCACCAGAGCTTTTTTTAGCATGGTAACTGTGCAAACGGACAAGGACTGTATATCACTGTCATCGATGCTTGAGTTTGGCGTTACGGCCGTCCCGTCAGTCTCCGCCAACTGCGCAGAGCGAGATGTGTTTGTCACATCAGGTTCGTCGTTTGATTCTTCTTCTTCTTCTTCTTCTTCTTCTTCTTCTTCTAGCGCCTTGATAACAGGACTAAGCAGTTTGTCCTGCACGGCTTGTCGGGAAATAACGAACGAGTTGGCAGCGTCGTCCTCAATCGAAATGATCCCATTCATCTCTCTCTCAACGGCGCACGTCAATCCCAAGACGCGCGAAACATCGTTGACTGCGTCAGCCATTTTTGATGTCATCGGTCGTAGGAACTCAACACACACAGGCCAGATGCGTCTCAAACCGTACCTGTCGGGAGTGGGTGGTGGAGGACTTCTGCTTCGCAGCATATGACTACGTGTACATACTTCTCCATGTTTAGCAAAGTCGTCCTGTGTCCACAGCAATTGTCTTGCGTCTTCTAGCCATATGCAATCATGTCTGCCTTCAACGCCGGGTACCAACTCCGGAACAACGTCTTGAAACTGGATTGATTGTGAGTAGATTACTGGAAGCCAACGGTGAACCGCTTACCCATGTCAGATCTTTTCCTTCATCATAGGCCCCTGCGATAGCATCCGATACTGCGCGATCTTGAGGCTCATCGCGGATAAGGGTAAAAAGGGTCTGTTGTTGCTGGCTACTCGTCATCACTCTGATCTAGCTGTGCTGAACGATGAGCCATCACCGAGTGGGGAATATATGAGCCGGTGCTAGAGGATCACAAGTGAATGCTCTTTGCTGCTGGTTCATGGCTTGTGATTAACAAAGAATCGTTTGTCAAGCAGAGTCAAAGCAAGTGATGTGTGCAAGCTTCTCTGCGGTTCCCATTGGACACAATTGTTTGTGTTTACGAGGTATATATCGGCCCAGCTGCAGTCTTTCCAGCCACTCACAGAGTGTTTTATCACGGAACGTTACGATGTCGGATCAGCACCGTGGTCTAAAGAGCAATTCCACCAAGAACACTTGGGACATTCGAGATCGTCTTCCAAGTATCATGGGTTGGCTGTCGCAATACAACACATTCAGGGCTCTCAATAGAGCTTGTGAACAAGGCAATGTAAATAGCGAGCGGAAGATCTTCATTGTTAAAGGTAAGCATTGTGTCCCAGACTGAACGTTTTATTCTGACATCTGTCACCAGGCCCTGATCATGGCAACGTTGATGGAGGCATCATTGTAGACCCTCCTAATACATTCCCGTCCGATGATCCCGCCGCTGCCTGCCGCTGGGTGCAACAACATCAAGACGACTCGCACATACCAATAACTATGCGCTTCGATGCAAAAATGGGCATAAGCAACTGGACGAGAGGGCAATGGGCGCATTTTATCATTCTCGTTCTTCCTGATTTTCCTGACTACTACTGCATCATGCCGTTTCGAAGCTTTGCGAATCTGCATGCCGTACACCGAAGGACCAGTCGAAACTGGAACACTATCCCTAGTCTAGAGTTCCGCACATCTGGCCAACGGTATCACACTTTCGAGAGCTACTTAGCTCTTTTTGCGGTCTATAAAGATGATGTCTATCAAGCGCTCACGAACCTTGTCAATACTGCTGTTAATCTAACATGGTATGTCAACCCTACGAACGGGGTCGAATTCAGTGGTTGGAAGATTCTGCATGTCGATACCTCGTTTCAACCATTACTCCGGACGTCCCAAGTCTACCAGAGGCGGTCCGCAGATGCTATATGGAGAATTGCTAGGTTCCTCGAGAGCGCTGATGGTATAGATATGAGGATTGTGCCCAATCCGGCAGAACCGCTGGTGTGTGACTTCACGTTGATGGACGAGAGGCTAAAAATCAGCTATCTGATCGAACATAAGTATCGAGATCTTGGAGATCGACCGCGTCGAGGAGCCAACAAGCTCACATACGATGAAGTTGCGTGGCGTGACAAGAGTCTGAATTGGCATTTCCTTTTCAGTCAATATGGGGATGAAATGGCCATCTTCACCCGGCGGGGTATGACGTCGGTTGACTCTACAACTACTCCGCCTTTGTACCTCAACATGAGCAAGCCTGGTGCAGCGACAGAGTTCGCAGAGTATATCCGAGCACAGGGTAGTATTGCGAAGAGCAGAATACGGAGCAAGTGGCAAAGCGTCGACCTGTACGACGATAGCGTTCGTGCCGCAGATGGTCTTGACCATTCGACGTCTATTTCAGTCTCCAGCAACATCCAAAGTCGGACTCTGCCCAAGTCGGATATCCAACGCTTCGCGTTCGCTTTCGGGAATGCTTTCAATCGACAAAGCTACAAACTCCAATCTGGTTGCTGCGTCATACTGGACAATGACCCTTGCGCTGACGCGGTCGTAGTTGAGCATGACTGGGATACAGATGACTTGCTAGCCTTTCGGTCTGCTGCCAAACTCCCTGTAAACATGGTGGGCAAGTCTAACCCTGCCCTCATCTTACTAAAGTTTATCCCCCACTACCATCAGACTAAAACGGTCTCTATATCGAAGGCGTTTGAGCTCTCTATGCAGGGCAATTTCGAGATTCCAGCTTGTTCCGCGCAACCGTTCATCTACGTAGCCACGACTGGGGGTGTACCACAACCGGGTCAAGACGTCGATCTCGACGAGCTCGTACTTATCCCATCCAAGGAAACAACGATGCTAGATGACTCGCTCATGTGCGATAATTGCAGCAATCGCGATCAGGAGAGAGCCTGGACATACGTCACACAAACAATCTCGAAGCCGGAATTGGTACAGCTCCAAGTAGTGGGTTCGTCCAAAGGTCTACAGGTACCTCTGACACAAGCCCCCTTCTTGCGAGAAACCGCTCGACCAACAACAAGGATCGTGTCCCTACTAAATGGGGATGTTCATCAGTACTTCAGTCGCTTGTTCTCTAGGACTGGCACTGAGATTGTTTCGAAGCTGCACGGACCAACAGGGTTGCTCCAAAGACAATGGAACCACGGTACTTCCAGATTTTACCGCCAAGCAACCTCAGTGGGGAAGTAAGTCAAACTCACGGATTTCGCGAAGAATATCGTATTGTCGAACTTAATGCTGACTGTTGGTAGGCTAATGGCGCGAGTCCTCACCACGCTTCCACCAAATCAGGACACGTATTTATATGCGTCGTTCAAATCGAAACTAGACAAAACGATTGATGCATACATCAAAACCAACAAGGTTCATAGAAAAGCTGCAAAGAACAACGCTCTCGGTAACATCATTCAAAACACGGATGATGGCCTTTCTTTAAAGGAACTGACTGCATTGTCCGGCTTCAATTCGCAGATCCCGCTCCATTGCGACAACTGTACAGATGAAGATCGTTGTCAATTTCTTCGGCCAGAATTTTCTGATGGAACCGCTAAGTGTGGGTGTTGTTGGAAACACAATGCCATGTGCACCTTTTCAGACATGCCATCACAACTCATAGACGAACTACGCGCATTCCCCTATTTTCGGGCGCACGTACCATGCCACAGATGCTGGAAGGAAGAAAAGGAGTGTAACAACGACCAGGGGTGCTGCAACACATGTAGGGAAGCAGGAGTTGTTTGCGAGCGGGAGGCCTGTTCGTGTTATGCTGAACCAAGAGACGACTCACTGTGTGAACCGGATTGCGACAAGGCCCACTATGACGACGGATATGAGAATCTGGTGTATCACCTCAGGGATAATCGCGGCTCAAACGTGCGTCGAGTTGCCAGGCAGAAAGCCGGTGTCTTCAGAAAATAAGGATATCGAGACTTTTACCTTGAACAAGAGGTGAGTCGTACGGGCGGGTTGGCCGTAGCATAGGTTGATCCAGTCACTGTGTAGTTTGTAAAGTCGTTCTCATATGACGCATCGTATCGTCCCACAAGTGTTGTATGACCGATGAGTATGTTGTCCATCCGCTGTGATTTAAGACCCATATCTCGTTGCTGTGTCACAACACGCTCTCAAAGCAGCATATCCTAAGTGGCTCAAGTTTCGTGATTGCAGGGAGTCTAGCAGCCACAATAAACACAATACCGCTACATCTGCCTTTACTATAACAATCTGGCAACCGAACAAAAGTCGCGTCATCGATGTTACAGGGAGTTGTGATTTGTACCATCTTGGGTATGCATCAAGGAGTGTTATACATTCTTTTTATTTAGCATACAGGCAACGAGTGTGGAGGAACGGTACATAGAGACCAACGAGAAGAGAATGGCAGGAATAAAGGCAAGTAATGAACCTTGCCATGTGTTGACCATGTCTGGAAAATCCCGAAAATCAACGCGATCGGAGTCAGGGCCATGGGGTGATGCAATATGCAACTTCGAGTATGGTGCCGGCGCGTATTCATAGGGAAGAGCTACATGCACCACTTCAAAATTCTCCAGAGCATAAGACCAGCACAGTAGATCATATATGCAGATACAACAGCGATAAATGCCCATGCATATAGCTGCCTGAATAGGACGAACCATGGAAGGAGATGGGGGTGCAGAACTGCTACCCCATGTGCGATAAGGGCACGCAAGGCAGTAACAAACTCGTATAGTGCTCCTACTGCGCGAACAGCTGAGGTAAAGACGTCTTGCACCAGCACAAACATGGGACCTGTGAGGTACTTTGCCGAGAGCCTGGTAACAAAGTCCTGAACGACGTGATTAGCGAGCTTCAAGACGTTTGAATGATCCGCTTCAAACCTCTTCATAGAGTAGCATGCTAACCATCATCTGACCTGCTTGATGGCCTAGTGAGAGGCCGTTGACGAGGAGGGTGGCGATAGTATGAATCCCATGGCGAAGGAGTGTTGCGAATCTGTCGCCTGCCTCATCGACTTGGTGCACGATGCAAATGGCGGATATACATCCAGTCATGTCCACAACAGTCTCCAAGACTTTGACGACATCCTTACGACACAAGACATACATGCCGACATGGATAACAAGCCGTGCTAGTCCATAGGCCGCTGAACGTCCACTAGGGACTTTGTCATGACGAGCGAAGTCTTGCGTGTCTTCCATGTCGACCAACTTGGCCGTGTTGGTGTGATGGCGATGATGAAACAGTATCGAGGTATATGAATATATAGGTAGCTGTGGAAAAGGGAGGTAATGATAGTAGCGATACGAGTGAGGCGATGAAAGAAGCGTTCTTGGTAAGATGATTGGAAGCCGGCTTCGTATGCCTCTTCTTTAAATTGTCAAAATATGTTGCACCCAGAAGGATTAGAATAGCGAGACCCACTAGACAGATTGAATGTATGGAATACCGTGCGCGCACACGGCTAGTTGCTTGCTTGCGCTGCGCTGTTGCCGGTCTGCGTCTCAGACCTCCGCTCGTCGTCCTCTCGACCAGCTTCTGAGCCGCCTTGTTTGTACCTATCGAGAAACTGCTCAAAGAGCTGTTTCCACTCTTCTACAAACATTGTACTCCGCGAAGCTTCGGCCTCAGCAAGGTGTGCAGTTGCTGCTTTGATAAAGCTTGTCATTCGAGCGGTTGCGGCGACCGACATATCGTAGACATCGTGAAAACGATGCAAGTCCACAGGCGATTGCTCAGCAGACGGAGGCTGATCCCAGTCATCAGTCGCGGGTGTCAGCCGCAGAAGCGGCATGGTGACAAGGTGTAGTTTCAATTCGATTCAGTAGCAATGAGTCAAGGTCTGGGAGACGGACGATGATGCTGCTGCTTAAATTTCGGGGTTAGCACTATGATTACGAATCCAGGATCAATCACATCAGTAACTCACAGATCACAATGGTTGACAAAGAAGAAGGCGGGTTGGTGGATGCCTGGATCAATAGACCCAGGAGACAGCGCGTGAAAGCGCCAAGACCACTATCGGAGCTGGTCTCCGTGGCGAACCTTGTGCCTGCACCTTTTCAAGCTCGCCCCGCCCCCACGCCCACGCCTCTTACACCCAATCAGCCAGCAACCTTGCATCCAGCCGCTCAGCAGCACACGCCGCAGTCAGCCTCAAATGTAGTAGCTCCTCAGCACCCCGTCCGTACTTTCACCAATCGCCGTGCTAATAACCCACCGTTCTGGTGCCTGATCGTCATAGTCGTCATCCTAGTAACAGCAACCTTTAGCTTTTGGAAGACCTTGCATACCGTGCCTCACGGTCTCCTTGCAGATTATACTAGCATCGACTACGCCATCGGAAATGTTTCTGCCGCATCAACCACCTTCACCCAACATTGCTGCCCTATCCCGCAAAATTGCTCACAGGTCGTGCGCTCTTCGTTACAGAAAGCGATTGTCTCGGGACGCGACGCCAAATCTACAGTAGACCAAGCAATCAATGCTTTGGGCGACATGATGGTACCGATAAGAAGCCTGCGCGGAATGTCTTGTGCACGAGCAAGGTTTCACAGTTCTAAAATCGAGCAGACTGCAAGATTGTCAGTCTCTGCAGCAGACCACTACGCGGACGCCGTAAGAATCACTGAAGGGGTCCAAGGGTTATTAGACACAGCTGTTAGCGACAGTCTCAGAGCAAGAAAGGAGTTGTATACGCATCGCAAAGATCAACTAGGGACTGTGTGGAGATCAGTGCAGGAAGCTGTTGGGCTCGCAGACGATCCGTATACGGATCAGGCCCTCGAACAGTACAATATCCGAAACACTACAATCAACATCCTTCGTGATGTTCGTCGTCATACAGTTCTTGCTGTGGCTCTCTTTGATGCACAGGAAGCAATCTGGCGTAGCGTCGCTGCTGATCTTCAGGCCCTTGGGGCCAGACTCTACAGTAAGGCTGACGTAGCCAACAGTGAGACGGCAACCTGCGTTGATTCAGATGCACACCAAGGTTTGGTCCATGATTTGGAGACTATGATTGGGAAGGTGGTTGCCAGAGACGGCTGACAGGCGAATGCTAAGGGCTGGTTTGCTCTCAGACTCATTGTACTGAAAAGAATACAGCGCACGAGCGCATGTCTTTGTACTAGATCAGATAGTTAATTGACCAGCATCGCGTTGCAGAAAAAGTCCCAACTCCACGGTCAAGTCCCTCCACGGTATCGATACATTCTCAACCCCTAGAAGTTCTGCAGTAAACCATACCATCAGTATCTGTAACGGCAATAACCCTGTGTATCGCACTCTCGGCCATTTCGACATAGTCAATTACCATGCAGCTCTCGATAGCCTTGGGAAGGCGGGGATTCTTCTGCATGATCATTGTTGCTATCTTAGCCTTTGGAATACACTACTATAATGCAGTAGGTATACATGTTCCATGCTAGACTACTCATGCTAACCTTAAAAAGTGCTATGATGCCGCTGTCCATCTGTACAGTATCAGCAAGCCTGTACGTCTGTACGAATCATACACTTATGCGCCGAACATTGAGCATCCTTCCGGTGATCTTCTATGTTATCCACAAGATCCCAAAATACGTACTCGCCTAGCACCAAAGAGGCCCCATCTTTGCTATCGAACACAGCTTCCAGCACCATACTTAGCCCTAGCCTGCGATTTCGAAGCTCACGACTACTGCATGGGATCCACCTGCAACTTTTGGTTTGAACACGTTATGCAAGCCGCAGCCAACAACCCTGAATCCGCCAACACAGCAGCCGCCAAAGACCCAGAACTATCACTCAAAGTTATCAACTCTATGCTCATCAGTGTAGAAGCCCGTTTCGTTACTAGTCTCAACCACCTGAGCTACGTTGCCAACGCGAATAGTAGTATCAATCGCAACTGGGAGAAGGGCACAATTGAGGCTGCTCTTCAAACATGTCAAGTCCTGCTTTGGCACTGTGATGAGAGCCGTGCTCGTAATTTGAGGTCCAAAGAGGCTACATGGAGTACTACGTACGATCTGTTGAGCAAGATGGAGAAGAGACTTAAACAGTACAGTATAGAGATGCGTTGCTGGGTCAAGAGCGTTCCGCTTTCTGCTTCGCACCACTGCAGGGAACTTAAGGTCGTGCTAGACATTTTCAGGATGCTTTTGTCTGAGTTTCAGCGTCGGTCAAAGTCTGGAACCGCCACATGTCCCGACAAGAAGCGTGAGTTGCAGTTGGATACCTACAAGGGATAAAGATGTTAGACATTGATGCCGCAGAACAGCCACATATTCGTTTCGCATTCGCTTTCACAAGTTGTTGCCGTTCGCAATCGCGTACATATCCACTCATTTGGCGTCCATTTTCACATGTAGTTGTCCATCACAGTCATGTACAAAGTCGTTCGTTTGTTTCATATTCAGATATATCAGCGTATTCACAGTATTTCTGCTACTCTCTTTTGAGTTTTTAATCGTTATATTCCTTTTTACAGCTCTATGCAGCCCACAGTAATGCCTCGTATGATAGCCTCAAATGCCATCGACACAAAACAAAGGTCGCGTACTCTCCGTGTCTGCCTTTTCACCACAGAAGAATATGGCTGTATGAAGTTTCTGCTCGACCAACAGACGTGTTCCTATGTTTCAGAGCTCGGTGTTTGCCAGTTCGATTCATATACAGACCCAACAGCCCCATCTCGTATCTTCGGCACTCACTCCGACATTCGCAGCTGTGACACAGGATCTCAAAACAAGATACATCTCCTTTATTTCTTATCTTTAGAACCATGTCCTTTCCTTTGAAATCTATCGTGCGCCTCACCATCCTTGTTTTTCTCATAGCCATCGTCTTCATAGATGATGTAATCACTCTTCTCGTTAACACGGTCAACGTGGAGACTCCGATTCTTGAGCTTATGCGGGCATGGTCCCTATGGGCTGAGAGATTTCGTCAGCGCGCGCACGAATCGATGATGCAAATGCTTCTCCGCCACGGCTGCACAGTCTTTTCTGCCGCAACGCAACTCTTCGGCGACCTGGTATTACTTGCTTGCTCTCCCAACCGGACATCATTAACACACATCGGCAGGATTCTACCTATATTATCTCCGTTGCAAGCGAACGCATGCCAGAGCCCATCGCAAGCGATCTCATCGATCTCCTCGTCACTATGGCTCGTGTCTGCAATTGCATAAAGCATCTGGGGAAGATGATTTGCATGTTCAGCGGACGTCTCTACTTCCTGGCATCCCTCTTGCTTCCGTATCTACGATCACATCTTTCAGCTGAGGCTATACTCGTGTTGAAGCTCGTATACATCCTAGTCTTAGTCTTTCTTACATCTCAGGTAACAATCACTGGATGGAACTTACTCAGGGTGATCACTAGCTTGCTGTTTCACATGTCACTCGCGACGAGACCATTATCCTCAGTACCTAGGTAGGCTCAGATCTGTCCGACTACTAGCTCCATCGCATCTAATCAGGCTTAGTGAATAGCACGAATAAAGATAATAGCGCATCTTGCTGAGGGTGCTTTTGAAAGATCACAGGAGTCATCACGTACTTTGTTAACTGGATAGTCTCAACCAGGAAGTGCAAGAGATAGTGAATAAATAGGTATCATGGAGCTGAAAGCTCTAGGACATTCGAAACTTGTCCCTCTGACCGCTTGTACCCACTGCTGGCGGGCAAACCTGTAGATAAATAAAGGCATTCTGCTCTTTGCTTGCATGTGCACATGAGTTTTCTGTAGCTTAACCAATAATGTGTTTTGCAATCCTTCTTTCCGCTCTTATCATCTGTCTTGCTTGGGCTATACAGCACAAACTTTACGCCTTACTTCAGTTTGTCGCTAATCTTTTCGAACTCCTTGGTGCCTTGCTAGAAGGAATAGCTAAACTCCTTATGAAGATCTGCGGCATTACGATTAACGTTGCTCGCGCCGCCCTTCTAAGCCCGCAGGTAGCTCTCTTCACCAACTACACGAACGCCACTATTAGAAATATCATGTCTATCCCAGCATGGTCGACAAAACTCCTCTTCTCAAACTACATCCAGATGCTTAATGATCAGCCCAATGTTCCCAGTCAACACAAGGAAATGGAACACGCCGCCACGAGTGCTGCTCAGAAAGTGCTGACACAGTGCCACGGACGAACGCGAGAGCAAAAAAGGTGCAAAAACCGCAAGTTATTGCTAGAGGGAGGTCAATACGACTGTGGAAAGCATTCTGGTTAAAGAGAATGTAATTCGAGGAACTGTATCTCGAGACTGCGGATCTTCTTGTATTGATGTCTACTCTGTGTGAATATCGTCGATTGCTGCGAAGATAGTCGTTGCAGGTATGCAACATTATCCTTGACTCTACGTGCTAATAGCTTGTCCGCAGGAACAGCAACATGACGAGAGATCAATTCTTGGCGTATCCCAATGCGCAACCAACGCTCCAATATTTGGATGTAATGTATATGTGTACATATGACATGGTGATGGTGGTAACTCAAAGGGACTCTGGACGCTGAATCGAGACGGTATTCGAGGTGTAGGGCGGGTACAGAATGCGACAGGGCGTGCTCTAGGTACGTTTACACCGAAGTCGACCCACATATGCCTAGGTGCACATGGAGTCAGCTTGAGGGATTGCAGTCGCAAGGGGAAACAGATAAGACGTACAACTACCAGTGCTCTTGCCATTTTATTGCCCATATAACCAAAGCACCTTGGAAGGCGGTTTGCTGGAGCCATGCTCGCTCATGGAGAAATCGCTCTAGATCTTCGGGGTCAAGGTAGCGCGTAGCAACAGAGGTCACTATCTGGAAGCAGGTAACGACAACAGCTAGCCAGAGCAAGATCGCATTGCAGAGTTGCCAGAGTTGCAGACGCCAGTGAATACGCCCGCTAGTGAAATATGGCTTTGCTAATGTAGCCAGAAGTATGATAGCCAGAAGCAGGTGCAGGGAAAGGAACATTCTGGCCAGCTTTAGCTGGCACGAAGTGTGCCGTGTTGTTTCCCCCTTGAGGGTCGGCTGCCTAGATTTACGAATTCTGACTGTGCGCTTAGTCAGTGCTAACCTAAAGTAGCCTAGAAGTGATGTATGTACAACATACCGCGGGAGAAATAGAGCGAGGTCCGCCTTGAGTACCTGCCATTATTTTAGAGCAGCTGACCACATCGCTGCTGCTGCCGTTCTCCATGCTCACGGAAGGTAAGGTGACGATGGAGGCGCGTATGCAGTTGTTGCTAGGGTGGGCATGGCCGCTGCTGGTGGACCGCGCTAGCGACCCTGGAGTGAAAGCACGCGAAAAAGTTCGTTCTCACTTGGAAGGTCTAGAAGAAGAGCGTTTGCTTCATTTGGCTCCTGATTTGACTTCACATGCAATCTTTCGATCATTTACGTCGACCAAGTCTAATTGTAATCCTTCCATTACATTACCAGAAATCACACATGGCTATGAGCCCTATTTACCTATTTATCGCTGTGGCAGTATCAATTTACATGAAGAATAGCGATTTCGGTAGATTCGTTTTGTACCACATTTCAACCAGTCGGCCAGGCCGGCTAATCGAAAAGTGCTTGTCTCGCTGTATCAACAACATCAAAGCAGTAGCTAGCTTGTACGCCAATCAAATCTGGACAGGTGCAACTCACTTCCTCAGTTCACTGTTCATTCGCTATGCGCAACCTTTTTTTACCAAACTCAACCAAGCCTGGAATCTGTTCATGGAACTGCCACAAAGAACCGTCAATATGATATTAGGCCCGGAGAAGTGAGATGATGAAGAAGATAGCCTTATTATCTGGAGCATGAGATACTGCTAGCACATCCGAGGGACAAATATAATATACTGGCCAATCTTGAATGGGAAAGAAGACGGACACTGTTCGAGATTACCCTCTAATAGGCTTTCATCAATACGACGACCATCTGGCTATGTTTGATATAGGAAAAGGCTCGAATAGAAAAGTCCTATCTTCAAAGGTGCTGATCATAATGAAGAGTAAGTCTATAGCATAGTGCGTGCTCAAACACCTCTCAAAAAAAACAATCAAACAATTAGCAGCGCTTTGCTTCACGAATGTAGTCAGGTCTGGTTGATCCAAAAATGACCAGGTCGTCTGAAGTGATCAGTGACGACCGCATAGCAAACTTTCTTGCGTGAACATATTACCCATGATACTTCTGTTAACACTCCTTCATACGACACCATGGGTACGGATGATGATGGTCGCGGCCAGAAGCGAAAGCGACTGGTCACACCTGAAGGCGACAGGAGCATCCCGTCACTACAAGTTCCCAAGGCTCCACGAGGTCGTGCGTTTGTGACAAGAACTAACGACCACGTTCAAACGGAAATTGGTACACCAACAAAACAAAAGAGCACTAGCGATTCTTCAATGGATTTCGAGGACTTCGCCGGGCAGCCGCTCTTACAAACCGAAACTGAGGTCCTTGAAATGATCGAATTATTGGCCGCTCTTTTGGTGAAACACGACACGAAACCCACTCATCTTTTGACAGTACATTCAGGAATGGGCAGGGGAAGGTTTCACAGCATAGTTGAACTGCTGGTCTGTGCCCAAGGTGGTGAACGGGAGGACTGCCCTATGCCTGCCGACTCTGGTGTCCAAATAGCTCAACGCATCGATCACAAATCGGATCTGTACACACACATTGCATGTTACGATCTCATCGTAATGACAGAGCAGGGAAACATGCGTCAGTGGGCGGCGGACTGGGCAGACCTACTTACGTCGGGGGGCAGGTTAGTGATCGACCTAAGATGGAAAGAAGGTGACAAGAGCTGGACGGACGTTGCCTATCGCTATGCGACTATGGCATCGGAGATTGGGCTGCGATTAGACTATGTCAACGGCTGTTCCTTGGAATGGGGTCTGGCGCCAGGAAAAGCTTTAGGGCAAGCTTCGAAAGATGTCATCGCAGACCAGTATTCTGGCATTGCTGATCAGTGGGGGCTCGTCAATGCTCATTGCCCTAGGCTCCAGCTTGAGTTGAAGTGGCGCGCCGCCCGTCTCCGACAAAATCTCACCGTAGACAACATTATCGCCTTGTCTGGTCGCATGTACGGTACGTTCAGCCGGCTGTAGTTGCTGTGGAGCCATGAAATGATGACGTCAGAAGAGCGCAGTGATCAAAGGACACGATGTTGAAACGTGGAGTGAAGACGTGATCTCACAAAATCAATTCATAGGTAGCTACATTTGCCTCGAACTCTTCTCTACTGCCATAACAGATAGGCTGAGGTATTGATAACATTCAGATTCCCTCTAGCCTCTTGTGAAGAATGTTTAACCATGTCTATGCTCGCGCGGATAGCTGTCGAGCCATCTGAGGAGCTCCTCCCGTTGTGTCTCGCTCACGTCGACACGACCGTAGATTAAAAGGCACGCTCGACGCAAGTCCGCTCCTTGGAGTATTTGCTTCTCTTCCGCGTATAGCCGGTGCGTATCGGGGTCGTTGGTTCGTAGAGGTATTTGGCGACAACTAAACAGAGGCTGGTGTAGCCTGAGGCGTTGGAGAATGGTCTGTTTGACAGGATTCGAGATGCTAGTAATATTGGCATTCGGTCGGAGGTCTGAGATGACTAGTTGAGCGAGTACAGCGTCGTGATCGTCTTTTAGCAAAGTCACAAAGTCGTCGAGAGAGGTGTCTGGTGGGGGAGGGCTATACTGAAGTCGGTCCCACATCTTCTCGCAGAAGGACTGTAATTTGGCCCCACGGTCGGCGCAATTAACGCTACATAGCTCTTGATATAGACTTTGCAGCAGTTCGTCGACGGATTGAGGACTAGCTGAGATGCTAGCGGCGGCCATTAGCGCGATGGTGTGCGCATTCAAGCGACACGAGGGGTGCGGCCTACTAGGAACTCCGACGCGGTGCACGAGCCATTCTGACGAGTGCAGCTTCGATACTGGCCCAACAAGGTCCGACTTCGCAATATGGAGAATTCAGTTCCTTCTCCTGCCGGTCAAGGCAAACAAAAAGGGCGCCCGAAACCAGCATACAAAGCGCACCTCAAATTACGCGACATTCCCCTTTCGCCCACCCATTTCTGGAAGCAACCGCTTGGCGAGTATCTAGCCCAGCAAACCCGCGACAAAACGTATGACGGTACGAATGATCGCGATCTCACCGTGAACGAGATCGACGCGTTGGCTTTGAATGAGATTGCTGCAACAAAACGCCAGGGTTTCTTCCTTTTCCTACCCAGCCGAGTCAGCTGGAGTCATCAGACTTATGAGCCAGAGAGCCGTGGCCCAAGGCCAGATGACATACGGTGAGTCGTCGCGGTATGGATGGATATTGCCGTGCCCGTCTCGCCTGACAGAGTAGCAGATCATCAATCCCATCCTTAGTGTTCATGCGATACACTTGGAGCACGTATGCGCAGAGTACCTTCTTCCAGAGCCCTCATCGGGCGCGCTATGTAGCCTGCGATTTCCAACTGAATCCTCCCCCGAAGCCGACACCCTTGTACTGCATTCAGGTCGCTTCTGGCTCTCGCTATCCGCTCTATACCACGACGCATACCTCCTTTATCCTCTTACGATCAGATCCACTATACTTTGGTAGCGTTCAGGACCTAGAACCTGTCATTGGCCGGCCAAAACGTCGACCCAAAGGATCTGATTCAGCGCACCGCCTGGCTCAAGTCCATGGAATCTGGCAAGAACCGTCAGCAGATCCGCAGCTACAGCCATTTGCCTACACAAACCTACAAGATATTTACGACGCAATCGTTACCACTTGCGAGTCTACAGTTGCTTCCTCCAGCATGACCTCGGGTGCATTGCTAAATCTTCTTCCTCGAGCTCTATATCCGGAGGCTGGGACAACACTTGGTCATGGTACGGCGGTCCTCAGCTCTCGGACCGGTGGTCGTTTGGATCGTAGCCAACATACGGAAGCATCTGTCTAAGCATTTTCAAGCTACGCTGCGGTGTTCGCTATGTAGTACGGGTCGATGGTCCCTATACGCGTTGCGATACGCCGCTAAAGAGATGGTGCAATGTCTCAGCAACTGAGACAATGTCCTGTATAAGCACCACGAACCACCAGCAAGGGAAGCCAGTTCTGTCTCTACATCCCCCTCCACCTCGTTCTTTCCACACGGAAATGACGACTTTTGCGGAGATGACTCCTCTTTCCACCGCCTCTCACTCTAGCACTTTGCTACAGCCAAACTTACGCCACGTTACATATGAAGCTCAACCTTCTTCGTTCAGGCGCACTAATATGCAACGTCGCGTTATAAGATTAACATTCGCTCAGCTTCTTGGCCGTAACTGCTTTTCTTTTGGCTCGTCAAGATCGAATGACTATCAACTTCCTTTATCGGATGAGGTCGCACCACATCACTTCATCATGTTCTTCGACTTGAATGACAGCACACTGTACATCAGGAGTACATGTTCACAAGGCATACTCATATCTTCAGACTCTCACGAAAAACTTCGGACAGAGGATTGTGATACACCTATTGCCATTGTGCCATCTATGCGACTTCAAATTGGCACCATCAAGCCGCTTGTATTTGAGATCGCAACTTACACATCCCTCAACTGTCAGGATTATGCAGCCGAACTCGTGAATTACTCTACCACTATCGGACAACACACGCTCATCAGCTCGATCTCAACGCTTGAACGGCGTGAACAGAAGAAACGTCGGGCTAGCATCACCATACAGGAAGGAGGAACCACGAAGCGTCAGCGCTGCGCTGAACCGATGGGGTGCTTCTCACGAATTACACAAGCTCTGCTTTGGGCAGTCTTCTGGGAATGATTGGAACAACCGGCGGTTAGCCAATCCACAGCCGCTTCAATCGTACTACCGTTGGGTTGAATGGCTGAGTGTGTAACGTGTGACTGATCGAGAGCGGCCTATCATTGACCTCAGCAATAAAAGGCGTAGCACCACTCCATCTTCTCGCTTTCTCACCTTGCCCCTACGGTACTATGAGCGTCGACCATGACTGCCCTTTGACTGTTATCGATACCTTTGTCTCGAACCGATACGGGACTTATTTCGAAGCCGAAATCTTTGCTTCGTTAGTTGATTGTCCTTTCGTCATCCGGGCTTTCGAATTTGCGCTTGCTGATGGCGCGTTATACGCTACGGAGAATGCCCAAGTCTCCTCTGCGACTTTCTCGGAACGCTTCTGGACACTAGACGAGGAGGTTCGGATTACGCGCAACTCTACAAGTCACCACAATCGTATTCTTGTACCTTTCGACATAAAGAGCAGCCTTGGTAGTTGTGCGGAGAACCATGTATATATAACCACAGTCAAACAGCGAACGAGAGTAGGGTTTTACATCGCCGTATGCGCAGCAAACCCCAATTACGTCGAGGTCTTCCCAAATCAGCGAAGTGGCTTAGCCCATTCTGACACACGCAAAGTCGCTGTCAACCTGTCCAGGAAGTCATACCTTCCATCATCAGCATATGGCTCGCTGAGTCCCTGCAATGGCCCTTATCGGATGCCACTGGCCCTACTGCCTCAGGCGCTCGAATCACTCCAGCGCTGTGCTCGCGGTCAAGGTAATTATGTCAACCCTTGGACTCTCGTTCAGTTCCCAGGCTGGAAGCCGCACATCGAACGCGGAAATGACATTCTTATCCCAGCGGAGAATTCGCAACACTACACGTCTTTTAAAGGAGTAATGGAGATCTGGAGGTGCATCCGTATCGCAAAGAGCCAGTACTCTCTGCCTATAGATTTTGAGCTTGTGCATCTACAACCTCGATTGGCCGATTTTAAGATCCTTGTTCCCAATCAAACACAGCCACAGCGCCGCCAGGTCTTCATTCAGTATAAAATCGATGGTATCTACCGATCCCCTACGTCACCATTGGATAAGGTTGCCATTGCGCGAAATTCACGGAAGGGTCGCTTACGCCACTATTTCACGGACTCTGAGCGGTATGCCTTGTTACGCAAGTTTGATCCCATTGTTCGTGCTAATGGGCCTAGATTTGACTTTTTGTTCTACCAATTTGACTATCAAAATCATCAACGAGATTCATTCACGAAGTTCTTCTTCCTGCCTGAGAGCGTTATGCCGGATGAGTTTTACATCACAGATAACAAAGAGGCGAATTTCAATCGGGACGAGTTCAGACCATACTGGATTGAAATGGATACATACGGAAACTGGGTAAAACGAGTATACGATATCATAATCGGGACGCCACAACCTCGACACGCAGGCCATCGGCCTAGTCGACGTTTGGTAGCTTCAGAACAGCCCGCAGCGGATCCGCCGCAGTTGCAGTCACAATCACAGTTGCAGCCAACAGTTTCCCCTGTTAACCACGTCATGGCCTTTCACCAGAAGCTTTTTGATACGTTAATGGCCCAATGCGCTACCCACTTGCAGGGTCTAGTCGTTGCCCTATCACGCTCGGATCCTCTCGGAGATTATGCCTACTGTCGATACGCGTGGACCACTGACGAACAGGAGACTTTCCTCAACCATCGCCGTATTCCATGTACCATCACGCAGCTCCCTCACTCTACACCTGTAGTACCATTTATGTTGTACACCCGATCTCGAGAAGGTACATCACGTGGTCCGATGCTCACTGCGACCGAGTTTGAGAGACTTGACATCTGCCGTCAGGACCGGCTACTCATCTTCGACCTCCTCGGCCAAGAAGGTCATGATTTGTACGGTCCTCTTCTTGTTGTCCCTTCAGATGATGTCCGTCCAACTGCAGAGCAACGCGCTCTCTTCAAATCTAACAGAAGCAAAGACAAGGACCAAGAATTCGAGGGCCGGGCTCCTTTACTCGCAGAGCTCCTATACACTCGTCATAATCCTGTAGACTATGTTGTATCAGCTGGCGGACCACTCGTCTTCGAAAAGACAGGTTATTGGAATGAGCTTTGGAGTCTACTTAACACTTGTTCTGGTACCGACAACTTTGATCATCCGCACAGTCACCAAAGACGGCCAGATGACTACAGGGTCACAGTCCAGGAACTCCACCAGAATCTCGCTGATAGACATGCGTTCGTTGACATCGAGCCGTCATTCTACGAGCGAGTTTGGGAAGACGATGATGAGCGAGACCTCTAGCAGACTAGATCTACTTCAATGTAAGGCTTTCATCCCAAACATACCTTGATAGAAGGCACTTACTTTGTACCCGGTCCTTGATGTTCGACCCCTGGTTAGGTCATCTAAAATCATTATTTTTGCTGTTTCGATGTCTGGGTAGATAGGAATTGCGTGTTGTAATCTCCTGTTGCTTTCTACAACGTCATCCGTTATTTTGCAATACCACAGCTTCTTCGCTATTGACCGAGACGATGCGCAGTACTAAGGAGGCACACGTGGTCTTGTTTAGTATTACGAGGTCTCGTTCTTTTTCGCCATCTAAACAGCTTACTCGTGTATAAAGAAATAAATATGCCCTGTAACTTTCTCCATTGTGGTCTTAACAACCTACAAAACATGCAGTACGGAAGAGCTTCGCACTTGGAACAAACACCAGTGTCAATGTTTGGCAAATGTTTATGACTTTGGTACATTCTCAGTCGGCAAGGCAAATTCTAGCATACAAGACATTCTATTTCCTATCTCCTCAAGGGCAGAGCGTAAGCACGGAGCTAAAGAACGCGATGACAGGAGAATCAATAGCAAAAGAAAGTAAGTGGCATTTGTGAATCTGCTGCAGGCAACAACTCTGGGGTAGAAGCATTTTCGTATCCTTATGCTCTCTCACCTATCGTCACATACATTCACATATAACGACCTCTCGTCTAGCCTAGACAGAAGTACAGCGAGTATAGCATCTTCCAGTCGTCTAGCTACCATCCTCACAGGCACCCGAATACCCACCTCGATAAGGACAAGTCGATATCTAAGTGTCCTCAACCTTCAGCCCGATATCCCATAGCACAGTGAGCACAAGGCAAGCTTGACCTAAACCTCGAATTCCGGCTGGATGGCCTTCAAAGTAGAACGAACACAGATGGAATAAGAGAACAGAGTATTCCTGAATTAATAGTCCTAACTCTTGGCCTGAATCGATATCATGGTAAGGAGTGATGAGAAGAAAGCCCTAAGTCCTGGAAACATTCACTATTGAGATATCAAACCAAAGACGTATCTACCGTATGTGCTAGGTGTATACTCACGATAATAAGTTCGTTCCATCATGTATCCCAGTATTGCTCTCACCAAAATTTCACATCGCTGCAACATGTAAGATAGTGCACACCTCCACATCGTATCATCGCATTGCGCACGATCAGGGAAATTTGGTTAGCTGTATTCAAGATAATGGAGTTTATAAAAAATGCAGCATACACGAAGGCAGACTCTAGTATGAAGATATACATACTACGTCAACATACCCATACCATGCAATCACATCACCGCACCATAGGAACCGATGTATATTTATTTAATATTTTAAATTGTTTTGTCATGTACTTATCGTTTCTAATATAGATATAAATATGCGCCTTCGAAAAGAGCGAATGCTGTGAAATATGCCGAGAAAATGCGACTGTGAAGTCTGGCAATCTAGATCGCTTTAACCATGCGATACGATGCAAATTGTGTAGCAGTATGCGTGCGATGTGGAAAAGAATGCCTTTTCATCGCCGATAAGAAGAAAATGCACCAATTGATGGAGTTAAAAAAAAAAAAGTGTAGCGGTCAGCGCTTGACCGTCCTATGCTCTCCATTATGCACATAACGCCAATAACCCATGCGCCGACCCATGCTAATGCTTAAAAAACTGTCAAGAGCGAACATGTGAGTTGGGAATGGGAGAACGAAAAAAGTGCACAAATGCTGACTCCCGCTCTCTCTCCGCTAATACGCGTAAAATCATACCACGGTACGAAAGAGAAAAAAAAAAAACGACGAGAAAAAAAAATAGATGAAAGGTACCCGCCTCGGAAATGTCTCGTGGGCGCTCGGAACCAGTGCCGTCCAGTCGAATCCAGTCCAGTCCAGTCCTATCCAACCCGAAGGCATTCTTGCTCGATATAAACGTGTAACACGAATTTCCTGTCGTACCCCCACTGTTGCGCGCGCGCACACTCAGCACTGTCTGTAAGCGTCGGCGAGACCCGGCATTGTGGAACTGCCGAGTGGGGTGTGCCTTGGAAAATACCAAAGTTGGCATCGTGAAAGCATGTCCCCAGCTTTTTTTGCGCGAAGCGAGTGTAGCGACCGGTAACAGGTATTCACCGGATGGTGGGTGGGTATCGACCGTTGCGCAACAACGGATGGAAGCATGCGACTGTGACGTTTATCCGCGACGTGTGTGTCGTGTGTCGTGTGTCGTGTCGTGTGTCGAGGTCACGCGTTCCCGATGAACCACCGAAACGTGCGTATCGCCGAGCGAGCTCGCGCGGCCAACCTTCCTGCGACAAACCTGCTCTTTGACTCTCCTGACCTGACGTTGTTCGCAAAGGATTCGGCAGCACGTGCAAAAACCCATGTCAATGTCTCCGCCAGATCATCCACCCACTCCAACGGTGCAGCCGTGACGTGACCCTGTACCAAGACCAGGAATTCTTGCTCGACGGCGCGGAATCGGAGGCTCCACTAGAACCCGGTCCGCTCGCGCACTATACCGCGGCAGGTGATGCGATCCTCAGAGAATCTGAACCCGGGATCGACTTCGCCAATGCGCCCACCAATGACCAAGGATCGAATTTCGTGCATTGCGATGCGCTACGTAGGTGGAGCTTTTCGCGACACGCACATGCATGCAGCTCGTCTCGTCTCGGTTCGTGTCGTGTCGTTGTCGTGTGAACGTATCGAGGGTACCGTACCAAGACCTGCGTGCATGCCCAACCTTGGAAGTTATTGACGCAGCCGAATGCCGCTGCTACGGCCTGATGGGAACTCTCTAACCATGGTGCATTCACACGGCAACAGGAGTCCATCTAAGCGGCACACCGCTTGGGCTGTGAACGGAAGGTGCCTTGCTAGACCCGGGCTTTCTTGGCGGTAACCAAATACGTGCCTTGCCGACGGCCTTTGTGTCGAGCTTGCCCACGCGGCGCATGTTCATTTCGAGCACAATGACACGCAGAAAGTCGCTGTTCTCGCGAGGCTCGCGCTGCCGGACGGTAGGTGCGTCGTTGGAAAGGACTCGTCCTGCTTCGGAAAAGGGATCCGTGGCGCGACTCCGGCGCGACTTTTGCGATCGACCTCGGCGTTCGTAAGTCTGCATTTGGATCATCGGCGCGTGGGGTTCGGCGTCGGCATCGAGAGTGAGGGAGTCATGGAGATGCATTGACAACTCAGTCGCTGAGATTGGCGCAGGCTGTGGATTGAGGTATCGTCGTAGTTCTGGTGATGGTAGGCCTTCGACGTGTTTTGGTCGCATCTCGCTTGTGTAGTTGGGTGCCAGCAACGACCGAGTAAGGAAATCATCTGGCGGAACACTGGGAGCTGTGAAGTTTGAAAACGATTTCGCAGCGGACTTGAGCGCTTGAAGTGATGCAGTCAAGTTCGACTTGAATGACCGGAACCGCTCGTTCGAAGACACTGGAGTGACGGGTTCGCTAATGCTTGTCGAGACGATGTCTTCGCATTCATCAGGACCAAAATGTAGTAGCGGGTGGTCCAATATGCAATCTTCTTTAGGTGGTGATGAGACAACCTTCTCTCGGCGCTCAGGCAGTGACTTCCTGCCAAGCGAATCTGGCGTACTAAGGTTATCCCAATGTGATGCGAACGACGGGTCCTCGAAATCCAAAGAAGGCGGCATAGTGGATATTGAGTCGCTCGAGATGGATCTTGAGGTCAGGAAAGAGCCCTTCTCGTGCTCCATGCTCAAGACGCTGTTATATTCATCGTCGGATTCGTCCACGCGACCAAGTAGCAGGTCCATGGGCGAGCCGACAAGTGAAGGCGGAGTGTCGGGATCGTCCTGCTTCCACTCCTGTATCAACTCGTCCATGGATATCCTCCTGTCGGTTGTAGTACGTGGTCGTCGGCGGGTGGGCATCTTGGGAATGGCGGTAACGGCTAGCAAGGGTGCAACGGCCGGTGGTAGGGCTTTGGCATCATGGCTCTGCAAGTTGCGTGCAGGTCTGCCTCCATTCTGTCCTCTCATTCTCACAGTCTGTGTCGAAGTTGCTGACTTGAGAGGTGTTCGAGGCGGGATGACGACAGGTTGGGTGATAGCGGCTTCGCTATTCGAGATCGACATGTTCTTATTCATAGATTGCGTGTTGGTTTCCACTGTGACAGGCATGACACTTCTCGGTGAAGGACTGGCTCGCGCTCGCGTGCCCATCTTCTCGGACTTTGATCTTGTACTGCGTGGTGGAGATGACTGGAGGTAAGGAAAGGACCTTGGCGAGTACATCATTATCGTTGGCTTGGGCCCTGAAGGCGTTTCCCCCGTGACTAACAGCTTGGGTCGATCCAGGTACGGCTGGTGCTGGCTAGGCTGGATGTGACGTGCGGCCGTCGGATTTCTTTACGTTATTGCTGGTTGGCGATTGGATGGTGCTGCAAGGGCAACATCAGATTACAGGGTATGCGTGTGCCGAAGATCGCCGACGCACTGTCGCACACAAGATGGAGAAAGAAAAGGAAGTGAATATGTTTGAGGACGTTGGACAAGTAAGTACAATGGCAGTACCTCGGTGGTGATAGTGGTGATAAGGGAGGGATGACGACGTTGGGGTCTCAGGGTTATCGGGCAGCGATAAGTAAGTAATAAAGGACAGGCGTCGCGTGGGAGTGCACCATGCTCCCTATCAAACCTCGGGACACCAAAGCACAGAGCATCCATCCAGGCACTTTTCTCGGACCAGATTCTGGCGGCTGAGGATAAGACTGCGTGTCCTTCTGCCACCGCCACGCCTACGCTGCGCTGATCACGCTTCACACGAGGCAGGCAGACATTACCAGACATGCCGCCTCTTTCAGCCCCGGTCGGTCCCGCATGCACAGCACTCGACAAAGGTGATCGCCTACGGGCATCCCCTGATTGGCCTTAGCCGCCACCTCCGCCCTCCGCCCTCAGCCCTGTCGCCCCACGCCGGCCTGCCTTCTGGAAGGTGGAAGCCCGGAAGCTCTCTGAGACAATCCCA